TTTTTATTATTATTAATAATATTAAATTTTTAAATTATATATTTAAATATTTATTTAATTTTTTAATAATTATTAAAAAAGTTTAAATATATTATTATTTAAATACGTTAATATTAATTATACGTATTATTATACGCGTTATAATATAAAAAAAAAGTAATGTTAACCGCGTAATATAAAGTTCGTTTAATTTTTCGCGTAATACCGTTAAATTAACGCCGTTCGAACGAGTATTTATTTTTTTATATAAAAAGTTATATAATTATATATATTATTAAAAATAAGCTTTTCGCGTTATTTCGCGTTATTTCGCGTTAATTTAATTAAATTTATATATTTTCCGACGAATTTATATTTAGTTTTTTTTTTATATCGATTTATTTTTAACGATTATTTTTCGTTTTAATTTTTTAATTTTAAGTTCGAATTTTTTTTAATCGAAAGTTATTAACTCGGGTTATTTATTATTAAAAAAGTTAATTATTTCGAATTTATTTTAATTTTAAAAATTAAATTAAAAAAAGAAATTTATTTTTAATTTTTTATTATTAATTTTATTAATTTTATTACGATTTAATTTCGATTTAACGATATAACGGTTTTTTTAATTTTAAATTTAATGTAATTAAGTTTATTTTATTCGTTTTTTTAATACGATTACGTTAATTATAATTATTAAAAATTTAAATTTAAATTAATTAAAAAATAATTAATTTAAAATTAAGTTAAAAAAAAAGTTATAAATGTTAAAATAAAGTTCGAAATTAACATAAATACATGTTTTCTTATATAAATTTATATAAAATAAAATATATATCGTTTAATAATTTTTCTTTTATTCGATATTACGCGGGAAATTAACCGAACTTTATATTATACGGCTAATATTACTTTTAATATTAATACGTTTTAATAATAAAATATATTTAAATATATAATTAAAAAATAAATATAAAAAGTTTTTTTTAATAATAATATTAAATTTATAATATATTTTAATTATATTTATAATATTAATTATATTATAACGAAAACGCGTTTTTAAATAATATTTATTTTATTATATAAATTTTTATATAAATTAAAATATTTTTAAAAACCCCGTTATAATATAAAAATATTAAAAATTTTTAATTTTTAATTTATTTTTTTATTAAAATTAATTTAAATTTTTTATAAAATAATTTATATTATATTTTATTTTAAACGTAATTAAATAAATTTAATTATATTATATTTAAAAAATATTTTATTAAATAATTATAATTTAAATTAAATTAAAATATATTTTTACGAAATGATTTTTTTAATATCGGTCGTAAAACCGGGGTAATATTATTTAACGAATTTTTAAAAACGTATTATTTTATTAATAAAACTTTTAAAATTAATAAATTTAAATTTAATAATTAATAATATTTATTAAAAAAAAGATTTTTTTTTTAAATTATAAAATATATATATACGTTAAATTATTATATATTAAGTTTTTTTAAATTAAAAAATTCGAAGTTTTTTTATAACGAAAACACGTTTTATAAAATTAAAAAAAAAACATTTTAATAAATAAAATTTATTAATTACCGGTTACGAAAAAAAACATTAACGTTTTTATTAATAATAAAACGATAAAAATAATTTTATTCGAATGTTTATTTTAAAAATAACGGTTATAATATTCGTAAATATATCGTTATTAAATATAAAAATCGAAACGGTAAAAATAAAAATAACGACGAAAACGGTTAACACGGTATTTAAAATCGTAATCGAAATTATTTTAAAAATAATGAAAAAATTAATAAATTTAAATAAAAAAAATAAATAATAATTTAAGTTTTAAATTTTTTAACGAAATAAAATATCGATTATCGTAATCGTTTATTAATTTAACCGTATTTTAAAAAAGTAATTTTCGAATATATTATTCGTTATAAACCGCGGAATATTTTTTTTATTTCACGAAATATTTTAATATTAATATATTTTTTTTTATTAATATAATAATTTAATAATTTTTTAATTTTAAAAAAAATTTAATGTTTATTATTTTTTTATATAATTACGTAATTAAGTTACGGCTTTTTTTTATTATAAAAATCGGCACTTTTAAATAATTTATATAAATAAATTATTAACACGATTTTATGAATTTTTTAAAAATCCGAAATATTTAATTTATACGTAAAATTATTAACTCGATAAATAATAAATAAAAAGCTTATTTATTAAGTTAAATATTTTTTCGAATTTTTTTTAAGTAAAATATATTTTTTATATAAACGTAAATAAATATATTTTTTAATTTTAAAATATATTTATTAATATTTCGAATTATAACGTAATTTCGAATTAATAATAACGAAATTTATAACCGTTTTAACTTTTTTTTAATATATTCGTTTTAAAGTTTTAAAATTCGAAATTAACATAAAAACGTCGATAAAAAATAAAATAAAACGAAAATAAAAATTAAAAATAATTTCGTTCGAAAAATAATTAAATATAAATAAATATACATTATTAATATTATATTATAAAACGGGAAAAATATTTAATTAAAAAATATCGAACGATAAATAATAATATTAAAAAACGATTTCGATTTTTTAATTACGTCGTTCGTTTTATTTATTTATTTAAAAATAATAATTTATATTAATTATTAAAATAATTTTTATTTTCGTAAATAAAAATTATTATAATTCGAAAACGAATTTTAAGTTTTAATTCGAAATAATTTTCGTTAATATTTTTTAATCGTATAATATTAAAATACGAAATAAAATAAAAACTTATTTTTTAATAATATATATAATATCGTCGAAAAATAAAATAAATTTTTTCGAAAATTTATATATAATTATAAAAAAAATATCGAAATAAATGTAATTCGAAATAACTTAAAGTAAATTTTTTAACGAAATTTTTAATAAATTAACGATAAAATTTTATATAACGATATAATAAAATTCGAATATTAAATTAATCGATATTATTTCGTTATAAAATTTCGATTTATTTATTTTATTTTTTTAATATTTAAAATATTACGTAACGTATTTTTAAATTTTCTTTAATATATTTTAAATTTACACATTTTTAAATTCGTATATTATTTTTTTCGGTTTAAAATAATATTTATCGTCGTGTATTATTACGAAAATTTTTTATACGTATTTCGAAAAAATAAATAAACGTTAAACTTTTTTATTATTAATATAATATAATAATTTATTTTTTAATTTATATCGTTATTATTTTTTTTATTTTTCTTTATATTTATTTTTAATAACTTTTTTAATCGTTTTATTTTTTTATTTTTTTTTATATATTTTTTTAATTTATTTTTAAACTTTTCTTTAATTTTTATTTTTATAATAACGTATATAATATTATTATCGTAATATTTTATAATTTAATAATTTTTCAATTAAAACGAAATGAAATTATTAATTAATAAATTCGAATTTAATAATTAATAATGTTTATTAAAAAAAAAATTTAAAAATTTTTTTTAAATTATAAAATATATATATACGTTAAATTATTACATGTTAAATTTTTTTAAATTAAAAAACTCGAAGTTTTTTTATAACGAAAATACGTTTTATAAAATTAAAAAAAAATATTTTAATAAACGAAATTTATTAAAAATAATATAATTTAATTTATTTAATATAAAATAAAATAATTAAAATATATTTTAAATATTAAATAAATTAAAAATATTTTTAAAATAAAATAATTAATTAAATTTAAAAGTTTATATATTTAATTAAATATAAAATTTAAAATTTAAAACTTAAAAAATATTTAAATTTATATATATAAATATTTATATAATAAAATATATATTTTTTAAATTCGAATTTTCGAGAAAACTTCGGTTTTTTAAAATAATTTAACATTATAAATATAATTAAATTATATTATAAATTTAATGTTATTTTTTTTAAATAAAAAAAAATTAAAAAAAATTTAAATTAAATTTTTTATTTACGCGTTAAAAATTTAATTAATTAAAAATTTTTATAATTAAAAAAATATAAAAAATATAAAAAAACTTAATTTAAATTAATTAAAATAAATTTTACTCGTTTATTATTAAATTTAATTTTTTTAATTTCGTTATAATATAATAATTTCCGGAGTTTAAATATTATTTTTTTAATTAATTAACGACGTATTTTATTTTAAATAATTTTAAATTAATAATCGCGTTATAATTTATTTATAATTTAAACGATAACTTAAATTTTTATATACGTAAAATTAAAAAATTAAAACGCGCGATTAATTAATTTAAAGTTTTTTTACGAAAAATAAATATAAATTTAATAAATTTTTATAATAATAATAATATTAATATTTTTAAAATTATTAAAATTATAATAAAAATATATTAATATAATTTTAAAAATATATTTTAAACGTAAAATTTAATTTAATTATTTTTCGTAATTAATTTTTTAATTTTTAAAATTTATTTTTTTTAAATACGAAAACGTTTTAAAAAAACGATTAAATTATATTTTATTAAATAAACTATTTTATATTTTTATATATATATTTTATATATTTTTATTATTTCGCGTTATACGCCACGTTTTTCCATTAAAAAAAATATTATTATTAAAATTAATATATTATTTATATTTAAATTTTAAAACACTTATAAATTATCGCGCAATTAATTTAATCGCGAATAAGTTATTATTATTATTATTATTAAAATGAGAAAGGTTTTAACCTAACCGTACCTTAAACTACGTGCTGTATAAGGTGTGGGATGGGTCTGATTGGTCGAAAAAAGGTGTGGGGGGGGGAGTACAACACCTTTTACAGCGTACGTAGGCTGAGGCCACCTGAGATAAGGCGTATTATGCGGAATAACACTTATTTTCGTATTACGCGAGCAATATCGCTCATTATTAAAATAATAAAACTTTCAAAATCATGGCAAATGTTACCCCGGTAAAACTCTAACAGCCTAATAGATTTTATTTAACAGGTCGTGTCATTTTTAATGATATATTCCTTTCTCCGCATCTCATGTGTTCAATGGAAACATTATAATAACCTGATATGGCAATCGTATTCTAAAATGACCTTCTGTGCAATGGATATTATAATTACTTGTTGTGAACATTTACATCAAAAACATTATGATGCGTTTATTAAGTATTATCCATGCTGTCATCTTTTCCGCAGTTTTAACTGCCCCCTTAATACACTCGCTGAAGATAGCAAGCGCACTAGGGGTACTGGAATGGACCCCCGAGCTTATCGCAAAGGAAGATTACTTCAAAGGAGACGTTGATATTGTAAATGGTGGAATCGCCAGTCTATACAGTGATCCGACAGTAGATCTTGGGTCGAATTCCGAGACTCAGTTGCTCCTACAGTTTGGATCTCACAAAAACCTTCGAACCATTGGCACAGTGGCGGAAGTTTATTATAGAATTGTCGCCAATAGGAAATCTGAAATCAGCTCTCTTATGGATCTTAGAGGGAAAAGAATTGGCGCTGTTAGGTCGACATCGTCTGAATATTTTATTCAGGTATATCTTGCTACAGTTGGACTGAAACCAGCGGACTATACAATCGTTAATGGACTCGGATGTCTCCAAGAACCCTGCGGTGCCGGCACTTTCCCTACTATGCTGAGAGATGGGAAGATTGATGCCATCGGGATGTGGGAGCCGTCGGTACAACTTGGCGCGGATGCCCTTGGGTCTGATGCAGTTGTCTTCGGAGGTAATCAAACCACTTATCGAGAAATATATAATCTTGCTACTACAGCCGAGAAACTCAACGATGCGAAGACGAGGGACGAAATTGTCCAATTCTTAAGGGCCTTGAAGCAAGCAGAGAATATTTTCCGGAGCGATCCCCAGAAAGTCATAGATCGGGCCGCAGAAGCCGTCAAGACCAATGGCACTCTCTTAGAGGCAGTATGGCCAGTTCATAGATGGGATGTGCATATACCATCAGATATGTTGGACGTATTAGTCGACGAGGATAAGTTTGTGGCCCCCAACAGCGGAAGACAAGCCCTTCCAAGAGAGAGTATCGCTACTCTCATAGACTCGAGCGTCTTAGATGAAGCTCTTCAGATTTGAAACGTACGCCGGGAAGCACTTTTCCCCATAGTGCTGCTATGGCGATGTGGTTATTAAGGTCCTTTCTGAGAAAGGGAATATATATGATAATGCAGTCGCTCTCGAGTATGCGGTGCACGCAGTTCCACTTCAAGTCGCTGCCATGATTACGGTCGGATATCGAGATCTCGAAGTGCAAAATTGGTCCACGTAGGACCCAAGAAACATTTAATAAGAAAATACTCTTGGTTGATTTTTTTGGGGTCGGCACCAGGTTTATGCGGTATTTGCATGAAGCTATTTCACACTTGAGCAAATGATTAATTTACTTGAAGCTGCTAGTGGTAGGATGCCATTTATGGCACGGGTTTACTATGTATACATGTCACGTTAACCCATCTGGTGAATGGTGAACTACCTAGTAAATTACGAATGACCTTGTCACCGATCCTTAAATCCACATGGAAACAATCATCTCACTCGGATAGGGATTACCTAAAGACCTGCCGCATTAGCTTCAGCATTCAGCGTGAGTTGTGGGGGGGATCGGTAGGCGTAGGATGCAGGATCCCATTAGAGGAAGGTGTTATTAATTACAGAACTGAGAAGGGGCATTTAAGCGTACAAAGCCACACACACGGGCTTACACGATGCTGCTTCATTGGCCCGACCACCATGAACGTCCTCCTTAGTTAATCGGAGTACTTTACCTCCCTCGTGCTCGAGGCAATGTCTAGCATTACAAAATCAAGATAAGACCATGAGAGCCGCCAGCCCGATCTTGACTTCTTGCTCACCCAAAAACCGACAGTATTCCATATCGGTAATAAGGGATTTGTAGGCATCATGGAGCTCACTCTGCTAGCAATTGCAGCTACAGGATTCTTGGTTAGTATCTTGATGCCCCCACCGGCTCAACGAGTTAACTGATGAAAAGCTCCAGCTCGTCCCACCTGGCCATTGCTTGACACAGCGGACCACAGACGGAATATCTAGCTGTGGGAGTGCTTGGATTCCTAGGGACGATGTCACGATTGCTCAAGGAACCGATACGCGCAGAGGCTTTAGCACTACGGTGCATACCTTTTGCAGCGCGGCGGATGGGCAGACGGTGCAGCCTGGTGGGTATCTCTCTATGGCAACGGGAGTCTACCTTAACGGGGGTAAGGATCCGGCGACATACGGGATCATGGGATTTGTGTATTGTATGTCCGCCTCATCAAGAAGCCGTGTCGTGCCCGAGTCTAACATCCGATGCAGTTGAGGTCCATAATAAAGAAAGCTCAGATCATACTATCTCATGTCAGTCCCACGATTTACCGCCCGCTTATATATATATATATATATATATGTATATACATATGGTTCGCTGCTGACCTACACTAGCTGATAGCTGTCAAACCTACCTCTTAGCGTTGGGTGCAGATGGAGGCAACTGTTCCGGAAATACTAATCATGATACGAAAGGTGGCACCTGGCAAGTTGGGAACAATGGCGTCTCTTACCACGCCCTCGCCAACGAAGCACCGCCCCAGCAAGATGCGGTTGATAAATTGTTCTCCGGCGCTGCTTTAAAGGCGCAAAATGCCAATAAAGGCTCTGGGCCACCTTTGAATCCTTGGCCCCTGGATTCTTTAAAGAGTGTGAAGCCTACAAACTGCCATAGTCATAACGACTATACCCGAAACATACCGATCTACTCGGCTATGAGCGCGGGATGTATTGGAATCGAGGCTGACGTGTTCCTCTCGAGCGGAGATGTTATTATCGGCCACGTCCTTCCAACACCCGGCAGGACGCTGAAAGTCCAATACACGCAACCGCTACGAGATATACTAGACCACAACAATGGGGGCTCTCCGGGCAGCAACGGGTTATACCAAGCCGAACCTAGACAGAGCGTCACATTACTGGTGGATTTCAAGACTTCCGATGCCGGGACCTTGGATGCCGTCGTGAAGGCTCTCCAGCCACTTCGGGATGGAGGTTACCTGTCTCGCCTTGAAGGGGGTAAATTCGTCGAGAGACAGATTACTGTGGTAGCTAGTGGAAACGCGCCTTTCGATCGAATCAACTCCGGTGACGGTGTGCCTGACCGAGATGTATTTTACGATGCCAAGGTCGACCAGTGGGACTCTAAATTCGCCAGCACGAACTCTTACTACGCGTCGGCCGACTTCAAGGACGCGGTTGGGAGTCCCGGAAGCGTAGGTGCGTTTAGTCAGGACCAGAAAGATAAAGTCCAATCTCAAGTACAGAACGCTCATTCGGCAGGGCTCAAAGTTCGTTATTGTGAGTTCGGTTTAGAGTGGCGTCCTATATCGTTACTAAATATGCTGACATACTATACAGACAATCTACCAGGAGATTATATGTGGGAGCCGCTGATGCAGCTTGGCGTTGATCGGCTGAACGCTGACGATATGTACGATACAGCAAGACTTCCTCGTGTCTAACGAGATTAAAAGGTAGATTGTACATAATATTACATACCTTATGTACGAAGTAGGGCACGTGCGATCTACTCATTGATGAATAGACTACTAGATACTGGGTATAGTGTAGAAAGTTGAAGTTGTAGAAATTGACATCAAAGTACTATGTAGATACCTATCTGCCTATGTACCTGAGTTAGATGGTTTTAAGTTTAAATGTTTGATCTATTTAGTACCTACTCACTCCGCTCTCGGAACTATACTTAGTCACCTAGTACCATACAGCATTGGTACAACATTGAATACAAGCATTACGGAGGTGATGTACAACTACGACAAGAGCTTGGTACCGTAGTTACCTGGTACCTGCCACCCCGGTCTACCTAAGGTAGGTACATATGTAAGTACATATACCCAGTAGTAATTACCCCGCTACCCCCACCACCTCTAATATTTTTTTTTCTGTGATTCATTCTATGAATGTCATCATATTTAATACATACCTATACTCAGTACGTACCGAGTTGGCTAAGTTACAGCTCTTGCAACATTCTTCCGATATCAATCTCTGTTTTCTTCTCTTTAAAAACTCATTTTGACGCCCCCAGAAGCCTCTAGGGCATAACTGCGTTATGGCCCTCCTACCTGACCCGACTGTCGATCTTGACTGGTCAGGCTATGCGGGTTCAATTCACGAACGCTTCCGCGCCCAGGCCGAGAATCACCCTGATAGAACTTGTGTCTTAGAGACCAAGTCGTCTACACATCCCGAGAGGTGCTTTACTTATCGCCAAATATATGAAGCTTCTAACACCCTAGCCTGGTATCTTCACAATGCCGGTATCACAAATGGCGATGTAGTGATGATCTGGGCGCATCGTTCCGTTGATTTGGTTGTTGCCTTCATGGGTACCCTGGTATGTCAGAAATATATATATCCATGTACTATGTCAAGCCTCATGGTATAGCTAACATTGTTGCTTTAAATGAAGGCGTCCGGTGCCACTATGACTGTCCTGGATCCTGCGTATCCTCCGGCTAGGCAGAAGATCTACCTCGAGGTATCTCGGCCACGTGCCTTAATCAAGATTGGCCGTGCAACCGATGAGAACGGCCCCCTGGCAGAGGTAGTGCAAGACTATATCGACAAAGAGCTTGAGCTGAAAGCCCAAGTCCCTGAACTACGCCTCATCGATGGCGGCGGCCTCTTCGGAGGCCAGGTAGGCGCCGACGACATTTTTAATGATGTCAGGGGCCTTGCATCATCGCCACCTAATGTGGTTGTTGGCCCTGATTCAAACCCTACCTTATCTTTCACATCTGGAAGTGAAGGGCGACCGAAAGGAGTCCTTGGTCGCCATTTTAGTCTGACGAAGTATTTCGACTGGATGGCCGAGCGCTTCCACCTGTCATGCGAGAGTAGGTATACCCTGCTCTCCGGTCTTGCACACGACCCTGTACAGAGAGACATCTTTACGCCTCTGTACCTTGGCGCTCAACTTCTTGTCCCATCCAAAGAAGATATCCAGCACGAGAAACTAGCCGAGTGGATGCATGAAATGAAGCCCACCGTAACCCACCTCACTCCCGCTATGGGTCAGATTTTGGTCGGCGGTGCTACAGCCGAATTTCCCAGCTTGGAACACGTCTTTTTCGTTGGCGACGTACTAACGACTAAGCAGTGCCGCTCTCTTAGGCAACTTGCAGTAAATGCGAACATTATCAATATGTACGGAACTACCGAGACCCAGCGTTCAGTCAGCTACTTCGAGGTCCCGAGCCGTGCGAGGGATCCCGAATTCCTATGCAAACTTAAGGACACAGTCCCGGCAGGGCAAGGAATGCAAAACGTTCAGCTCCTAGTCGTCGATAGGGAAAACCGAGCCCGAGTTTGTCAAGTCGGAGAAGTCGGAGAGATCTTTGTTCGGGCTGCTGGCCTTGCTGAGTGAGTTGGTTCTGATTGAACATATATATTCCTGCCGCTTTGCTGACCATTTCTCTTTCAGGGGTTATTTAGGTGACGAATCTTTGAATGAGCAGAAGTTCCTGACGAACTGGTTCGTTGACAACGAGAAATGGGTTGGGGCTGACAACAAGACGAACAAGAATGAGCCTTGGCGACGTTATTACAAGGGACCAAGGGACCGGCTTTACCGTACAGGGGATCTAGGACGTTACCTTGAATCTGGAGACGTAGAGTGTACTGGCCGTGCTGATGACCAAGTCAAAATTCGCGGGTTCCGCATTGAGCTCAACGATATCGACAGCAATCTCAACCAGAATCCGTTGATCCGAGACTGTAAGACTCTCGTAAGAAGAGACCGCAACGAGGAACCGACTTTGGTGAGCTACCTAGTCCCCGAAGCAGCCGAGTGGCGACGTTGGCTTTCTGCTCGGGAGTTGGATGAGGTAGAAGATGATGGTGTCGAAATGGGGCCTACCCGTGTTTTCCTCAAGAAGTACCGGAGTATGCAAACCGAGGTACGAGATCACTTAAAGTCTCGACTACCTACTCACTCAGTCCCGAGCATCTACATCGTACTAGACAAACTTCCTCTCAACCCTAACGGTAAGGTTGACAAGCCTAATCTTCCATTCCCAGACGTCACAGAGATTGTCGAAGACGCCTCCGATGAAGATTTAAGAAGTTGGCAATCGTTGACTACCGTCGAGAAAGCTGTAGCCCAAAAGTGGGCTGACCTCATCCGGGGAATTAACCCGAAAACTGTCCGACGGGACAACAACTTTTTCGATTTGGGTGGGCACAGTCTATTGGCCCAGCAATTCCTTCTAGAGGTCCGCAAAGGCCTAGGCGCGGATGTTTCTATCAATAGCTTTTATGAGCATCCGGATCTAGCTAGTTTTAGCTCCCATGTCGAGAAGAGGATCCGGGAGGCTGGTAGCACTGAAACCGGTCCTAGCGACGTGCAGGAGGGCGATCCGGTGTATACAAAATCCCTAGATGAATTAGCGAGTCAATTGCCTAAAAGATATCAAACTGCTGACGCCAAGCCAATTGGTATTCCCGGACGGTCGACGATATTTCTAACAGGAGCAACCGGGTTTTTAGGATCGTATCTCGTGAGGGATATCCTCGATCGGACAATTCATGACGTCAAGTTGATCGCACACGTTCGCGGTGCCAAGGACTCGAATGCGGCACTCCAACGACTTCGCCGTTCCCTGCAAGGGTACGGCCTGTGGAATGATGCCTGGCTAACAAGATTGAGTGCTGTCGTGGGAGATCTATCCAAACCCCAGCTCGGCGTTGATGATTTAACATGGCAGCGACTATCCCAGGAAGTCGATGTAGTGATCCATAATGGGGCTACTGTACACTGGATTCGAAAGTACCAGGACATGATGGCTTCCAATGTGCTGTCGACAGTCGATGCGATGAAGCTCTGCAACGAGGGGAAGGCGAAGGTCTTTTGTTTCGTGAGCTCTACCAGCGTCCTCGACACAGATTACTATATCAACTTGTCAGAAGAGCAGACCAGGACAGGGCAGGGAGCCGTGATGGAGATCGATGACATGAATGGTAGCCGTACTGGACTTGGCACGGGTTACGGACAAACTAAGTGGGTATCAGAGCAACTTGTTCGGGAGGCTGGACGACGAGGTCTCAAAGGATCGGTGGTTCGGCCAGGGTACGTGCTAGGTGATTCTCAGACGGGCGTCTGCAATGTGGACGATTTCCTGATCCGAATGCTGAAAGGGTGCATACAGCTCTCAGCACGCCCCCGCATCATCAACACCGTCAACGCCGTTCCTGTGAACCACGTCGCGCGAGTAGTAGTTGCCGCCGCTCTGAACCCTCTTCAAGACGGGGTTGATGTAATTCACGTGACTGCCCACCCGCGTCTCCGCATGAGCGAGTATCTATCGATACTAGAGTACTACGGCTACAAGGCTCCAGAAGTCAGCTACGACTCCTGGAAAGACGAGTTGGAGAAATTCGTGTCGGCTGGTGCTCTCGAGAAGGATCAGGAGCAGCATGCACTCATGCCTCTAGCGCATTTCTGTATGAATGATCTGCCAGCAACTACCCGCGCCCCGGAGTTGGATGATAGGAACGCAGTCTCAGTCCTGAAGGCGGACGCAGAAAGGTGGACTGGAGTAGACGAGAGTTCTGGGTACGGAATTGCCAGGGAGGACGTGGGAAGATATCTCCGATATCTAGCTGAGATCAAGTTCATTAGCTTACCGACTGAGAAAGGTAGGCCTTTGCCAGATATCAGGGCAGATATAGTACAAGCAAAAGCAGTGGGAGGCACGGGAGGTCGTGGGGGTGCCCCTTAGCCTACGGCATTCTGCACTCCTACAACCAGGCCATACGCCGCATGCATGACAGGAGTTAAATAGGTCATCGGCTTGGGGGAATGGCGAATACACGGAAAAGCTATTTGATTTATTTGTATTAAGCCCACTAGTGACTATAAAATTACCGCCCAGAGGGAGAGCTTAGAATATGGGTAACTCCTATAGAAGTTGAGTTGATAGTATCCGGGACTCTCGTTCTACCAAATCAATGTAAATAACATGTGAACTCGTTAAGCAGATTATATATACATTTATCATGCATAATATTATTTTGACGCGGATTAACTACCTAGGTTCTAGGATAAGCAGAGGCTATTCGGTAGACTATGTTCGTTCGCCAAGTACATAAAGCACCTTGTTTCTACCGTTTCATACGCTTTTAATCGCTGAATCACCACTTGCCTAGTTACTAGAGCTTTACCTTAAAAAAACTCCATTATGGTATAGGTGGCCATGTGCTTGAGAAATATGTTTTAATAGCTCTATCGACTTGTCAATTTTAGAAAGCATACAGACGATCTGTGTGTTATTTTTTAACCCCATGCTTCGAGAAGACGGATGGCGGAGTCGATAGGTACACATCCCCCTTGGTACGGCTAGCGTAGGGTCGGTCTGGCAGTTTCACTTTGCAATATGTAGTAGCCAAAGGCTGAAATTTGGTGCTGCCATATATAGTTTACAAGAATAGGTACTCGCGTGTGCCTGTTTTATAGCAATACGGTGGGTTCTCTGCTTCAAGACTTCATCATAGACCTGCTGGGTCTCGTAACGTCATATTCTAATGACATGTATCATTCGGTCTGGAATTCTACACTCTGTGGACATAATAGTTTCGTGTTGGCCTGGTATTAAGTTGAATCTCTATTCATACTGGGTTTCTATCCTAGTTCCCATGATCAAGTTCCTAATGTTATTTCTTGCACTCCACACAATATTCTCGGTCATACCCTTTTCACGAATCTGACCGTCTTTAACTGTCTGGATATCGCTGTCACCATTGACGAGACCTCTGGCTTTGTGGTGGAAGAATATAGGTGGCGTGACGCTGATACATTTTGCGTCGAGTCCCCGGTCGCCGGCCACCGCAGGATCTTCGACGCCCCACGTTGAAACTGCTCGTCTGCATAGTCCAGCTAGAGCGTTATCAAACGGCCCTGTCAAGTGATCTACCGACAGGTCAAGGAGAACTTTGCGAGCTCCTTGCTGAGAGAGCGCGTACGCGAAAGTGCAGATGGGAGCACCCGTGATGTGCACCCAACGTGTATACTCGGGATAATCTACAAAGTTGACGAGACCAGTAACTCTGTCTTTCGGTGGTACGGTAGAATCTTTCTCGATGACGAACTTCCGTGACATATATTCGATGGCAGGGGAATTGTCAGGTTTTTCTATGTTCTCGTCCAAAGTTTCGGGGAAAACCTCCCCACAATGCCCAAGCCACATTAGATCCCAGTCGTCTCCGTAGGGGGAGTTGGGCTTCGAGGCAGATGAGAGAAGGGCTCTAGCGCCCTGAGCAACCCTCTCCAACTGGGGCTTTAGACGCACATCCCAGTCCATGTCGTCTTCCATGATCAGGGCTGAGCTGATGTCTTCTGATATTATTTTGCGAACTGCGTTCATATGCCCTCTCCAGCTTCCTAGATTTGTTTCCCAGAGCTTCTTTCGATCTGTTCCAAACGGCACAGCTTTATCCGGGATGGTCTCTCCCTTCACACCATCAACCCACTCAACACGGAACCCGGTCAAGGAGCTAGTAAGTGCGATGGCATCGCGTTTGTCGGACCGCTCTGGAAGACCGACGATCAAGATCTTCTCAAAGCCCAGGGTTTCGTTGGTGACCCGATTAATATCTACGGGAGAAGAACTGCCCTTGTAATCCTTGTCATAAAACCGATCAATCTTCCTTGAAGAGGATGTTGGCGGGGCGTAAAGAGCGCCGTGGCCAATAGAATGAAGACTGAGACGTGCAGGCCGCGGTGCAAATATGAGGAAGCAAGCTATGAAGAAGAATGTGCCAAGGCCAATGACGATGTGCCTCTGTGGTTGACGAAGTGTCCCCATTTTAATGGACCGTACTTATTGACATAAGGCTGTGTGACCACGAGGTGATTATTTATAGATTTACGAATGCGACGTCGAAAAATTAAGAGTTGAGGTAGGAATAGAAACCTGGGGCCCCGAGGAATAAATGAAATGAATATACATCAAACTGTTTGGCCTGAGGTGGAGAGGAGGATGTTGTAGATTAGAATAAGGTCTGATTTCCGACTTCTAATTTTTGATAGACGTTTTTTTTAACTAAAGGTGAATGCTAATTTCAACAGGTGTATTAATTATGTAGAGATGAAAGATATATCGTACGTGGTGGATCGTCTAGTTATCGTCTTAGGTCATCTTAATCTTGTCAGGCTTTAGGTTTTTGAGGGGGCAACATGGTGAGAGGGAGGAGGTACCGAAATAGGTATACGTCTATGTATGTATATACCTATGTATTTGGTACCCAACATTCAATGTCTGAAGTATTTCTTTATGTACATATCTGTGTAGGTACCTATATGTATCTTACATATGATATTCCTAGTGCTTGTTCTACCAACGCAGGGCTGCTTCTGCTTAGGTACTCTTTAAACAAAATGACTACATACATACCTAGATATACATGGGTAGATAAAATACATACTTACATATGTAGGTATAATCATACACATACAATGTCTTGTACTAATTACCTACGAAGACTCTAACCTATGTCCTTAGGGAACTCACATTGCTAACATGTATGAGACTAAAGTCAACTGGGGTGCAAAGATTTCAGTTATACCTAGTTCTCTTATTCTAAGCGCCTATGGCGCGTACATGCGAGCCTTCCACACCGCGAAAAGCATCTCGCAACAAACCAACCCGTCTCGATTGAGTAACCCCAACCAACGGGAATGCTTTTCCATGGTCGTAGAAACACCACCCCGCCAACCACGATCCGGAAATAACCCTTTTCAACTTGTGTCCATGTAGTTCTCATCGGTGTTAAACGTCAAACCATGCTGTCTAGCCTTGATGCAATAATAGCTGCGAAGCAAACATCTTTCCGATCTGATAGGCGTCCAAGATCAAATTTGATTGATCTGTAGATATATGTTGGTACAATGATTGTATTTCCTTTGCAGAGGTCTACTCTGCAAACCTAGAAATATGTGACCTCAATTGGAATACCTACGTCACCAAAAATGCGGACAACCGTAATATACCGAACGCCTGGGAATGCCCGCCAATACGAATGGCAACCGAACTGCAAGGAAAAAAAGATCGGAATGCACATGCTTGTAGAAATGTACAATCCGCGATTGAAGTGCGTGTCAAGTAGTAGTAGAATCTTAGCCTTCATGTAGGCGTATAAAAAATAACGGAGTCCACTTCCGTGGTCAAAGCCACGAGTCGGGTAAGAACAGGATCTAGACAGGAAACTCGCCTGTCTTCATCTGAAGCTCTTCGAGAAACTCATCCAGGTAGATGATTCTAAACTGACCAGAGTATTTTCCGGAAAACTCCGCATTAGTCCAGGCAGACGAAATTGAATGTTTCCATGTGACCAACTCAAGTCTCCAACCATTTTCTAGTGCTTGGGTTGCGTAATGTAGGAAGCCATTAGAGAATTCAGCTTCTGCTGCGTCTCCGGTTGCCAGTACCATGGTACCTGGACGCGATATATGATCCCACATGCTGTTCATCATATTGAGATGGAGGTTCTCGTCCACGCCTTGCTCTCCATTTCGAACCTCGTAGGTCGTAGCTAACGCATCATCCCCAGTAGACTCTCCCGTGCTAAGGTCGTGTACATCATGGGAAGTGGCTTTGGGTGATTTTCTACCCCTTCGCTTTAACTGACTTGGCTTTCTTGTTTGCACACGGCAGAATATGTTCATCCCGTACTGTAGCTCCTCTGCCTCTGAGAAGTACGGCGGCCAATACTTCCGGGGGTCGTCAGCAGAATATCCGGGTGTAGATCCAGCCAGGATTCTCTTGTGCACAGCTCTTCCCCTTTCCATCAAGACAGCGAATGTCTTGAACGAGAATACTGGTGCAGGCATTCGGTGGCTCTGGGGAACACGTCTTGAAGCCTTGATTGCGTCGCAGAAGCCAATGAAAATATTGGATATATCCACAAATAAATGTAGCTTGGATTCGTTACTTGGATCAACTAACCGGTCTATATCCACATGCTTCGTCACCTTCCAATGAAATCGATGGCGAACGGCTGAAGCGGTATCTGGGTAGGTCGGATGCATACTAGAATGCAAGTCATCAGGTGTATACAACGTATAACCGTCTCCCGGTTGATTCATGGTAACTGGAAAGAACGCTTTCTGTGACTGGCTCGTACTGTCCTGGGAAGCGTCTGAGGCTGTGGTAGCGTAAACTGTCTCTAGAGCATCAAGGAAGTCCCAGTATTGATACCTCTTAGCTGTCTTCTTCGTATCAGACAAGGATAATGTCCCATTGAGAAACCACTCAATAATCTTATTTAGTGCCGAGTCATTACGCAGTCTTGATTCCCGTATGATACTAGCCAATCGGATGTGAGCTGGTGTCGTATGAACTGGAGGCGCAAGAGGTGAGGCGGCCGGAGGGATAGATGATAGGCGAACGCCATGACAATTGTTGGTATTTATTGTGGGGAATAGCAGAGGTTGTGCTCGAATAGACGTTGGTGAAGATAGCCCATAGGATTGAGAACAGAAAGTTGATACATTGTGGTTGTTTCTGCCAAATCCAGGTGCTTTGAGTTGCTCCTTAGCGCCATGGCTCTGGCTGATACTCAAAGATTCAACAAATGAAACCGGCGTAGTGATGTTGGTACCCGGTGAGGTTTCTGAAGTAGTAGAGCTTGAACTGTTTCTATCGTAGATTCGAATAATGGTGGCAGTAATGTCAGGCTCCTTATCCGTTGCACATGGATGAGATACGCCGTTGAGGACCTCGCTTAAGCCATCCCCGAGTCGAGGCATCGACCTTCGCTTAACTACCCGGGACCCGTTTGGGCCGGGCTTCTGCGGAGTTGCTTTCATTATTTGAATCTGGGTTGAGTAGTATGGAATTCCAGTCTTGCGTTCCTTCAAAAGCCACCTTTGATCAGAGACGAAGAGAAGGCACTAATGGTTCAAATGATTGTTTATGGACTTGAATCGATAAATAATCAACTGAAGGCTGATTTGAGAAGTGTCTGTTTGGTGTTAATGTGTGTTGTTTGCTGGAGCCGCGAACCATGTATATGAAAGCATAACAGGGTTGATAGGGATGTAATGGATGGAGATGGGTGGATGAAAATGTAAGTTGGATTTGGAGAGGGAGGAGAGAAAAGTAAAGAAATGCGTGATGTACGATGTACGACTTATATGGAGGCGACAAATTGAGTACTGAATATTAGATATGAGGACCTGAAGTGGTAGAAAAAGACATGACGGTGCACCAAATGAAGGAACAGCAGTATGTGGGTAACAGGTTAAGTACAGGATTAGGATGACTTACCTGTGGAAAGCGTTGCTAGATGACAAAAGCGACGGTCAGGCGGATCTCTCTTATTAGAAATGTCCATTCTGGGGATGGAAATTTTAAGGCAAAAGATAGCAAAAGAAGTCGAGAGTGTGTAAGAACGAGAGAGTGAAATTTATTTGGTGGCTGTCAATTGTGGATGTGGGATTATTTACGATAATAATAAGTGTTGGTATAATGGTTAATGGTTAACATGGTCGATGACGAGGTTGAATATTTAGGTAAGCCTCCCGTAAGTGGGTAGTAGTAAGTTATCAGGTACCTAACCTATTCTGGATGCCAGCGAACTTTAAAAACCCCGTTAGTATATATTTTGCAGGAATTCATTTAAATGTTAAAAGCACACCTGTGGATACAAGTATGTACTTAAACGTATATGCATTATTATAATATTTTCGAAATTTATTAAAATATAAAAATTTATAAATTAAACCATTTTTAATATTATAAATATTTAATTTTTCGATTAATATTTTATATATATTTCGAGTTTATTAATGTTAAATTAAAAACGTAATAATGAATTAAAGTCGCATTCGCGGGGAAAAACCGCGGTACATGCATTTCAATGCAACTTTTTTCACGTTCGTTTAAACGTTTAAACTTTATAATACCGTTATTAAAACCATTATACAAACGGCCCCGCATATTATAAATATCTAAATTCCGTTCTAATATTCCGTTTTTCCCTATATACGTGTACTATTCAAGCGCGAGCCGACAAGTAATTAACTGAGAAGGAAAGAAGGAACGGCTGCACTAGTTCGATCGAATCGATCAATTCCCTGTCTACTGCTACCAAGTTCCAACTTTACCCCGGTCGGTCGAATTTCACCTTTAATCCTCCCACCTTCAACGACAAGCTTGGTGGGCGACTAAGACGGCATTGTTCGAAATCCCTTTCGCTGCTATCACTACCCACCGTTACTACTATCACTCTTCGTCGACACCGTTAGAGTTTACCAACCGATATCTATGTTTTAGCGAAATTATTAGCAAAGCCACTACCATCTCGCACATCGATTCGAATCTCCCACCGACTGACGGCCATTCCTAGTATCGGTTGTACTTGCATATATAAAAACATCTTGAGACACCAGATTCAAGTCCAAATGTTTCCGTCCATCGAATTTAATACTTACCGCCTATTCAACAGTTCGTCACTCATATACCGCTGCACTGGTCTAGCCTAGAGATACTGTCTGGATGAAGTCCGTTTCCCTCGCTGCTCGTCTACAGCACACGAGCAGCAACGCTATCTTCTGGAGTATCTTGCTCAACATCGTCTAGTTATCCAAATATACGATAGTTCCCTACAGGCAGAGTCTTAATAGCCTTAACATCTGTCGACATATCCGCATATGGTGGAATTCAATCGTCGACCATATTAATCGACTCTTTTGCTTGTCTATTCGTCACTCAGATCAAACACGGCTACCGCATCCGAATCCTATTATTTTGAGGCGGTTTGTGTGAGGAATTCTCGAGGCTTACAACTATTGGGTTACTTGTTGTTAGATAGATGCGGTCACAATGGACAACTTCTTCGGCAACCAGCTTTCCCAAGAGGAGCTGCAGCGCCGCCATGCCCAGCAACGTAGCCAGAGACGCCAAGCTACTGCGTTGAACCAGCCAGTTCAACAGACCCAATATTGTCCTGTAACGGCCGCAAACCCGGATACCTCTATGGTAGGCGCTGATTCTCTTGACGATATCATCCGCAACAATTCTCAGGAGCTCCAAAGGCGTCGGAGTTTGCCGCAGCAATTCCCGGCCCAGATATCACAAGCAGACACCGATCGGAGAATGTCCATGATGGAGTTTGGCAGTAGCGATCCTTCCTTTAGGGATTATCAATTCGGGGTCATGTCAAATTCGTCAGTCGATGCTATGAACACCGGCTTTCCCAGTCTCAACACCAATATTACCTTGCCAGGTACTTCGGCAGGTTTCTCTTCCCCAACCATGCTTGCCGATGAATTTTCAACGCTATCACCGGACATGGTTGGCAATATGATCGCCTTCTCCAACATGAATATGGGCCAAATGGGTTCTGATCCTTCCATGAACATGTTCACATCGGCGACTACGATGTCTACCGCATTTCCGTCAAACTCCATGGATGGACTGCCAACTGAATTTAACATCGACTTGTCGGGTGAAAATACCGCTATGGGCACCGTTCCACATCACTCCGGTGCTGGCATGTCGGTAGATGCCGGCGATGATAGTTTGATGCACACTTCTCCCCAATTTTCTCCGTCTCACCAACATGGCCAACCAACGAATCTTAACTTGGATACTTCTATGAACGGTTTCCAACCTAGTATTTCCCCTCAGTCTTCTTCACAGATCCCGCCCCAGACTCTCGTATCGTCTACGCCCTCATACGAGTCCCCTATGGCTACCACGACTGAGACAACTCCAGAGAGCGGCGCTCCCTCTCAGCCAATCGTATCGGCTAATCCTGCCATGACTTCTCAGCCTGTCAAAGAGAAAACTATTTACTCTAAAAGCGGGTTTGATATGTTGAGAGCCCTTTGGCTCGTGGCTACGCGTAAAAGCCCACAGGTCAATCTCGGCGCAGTCGATATGTCTTGTGCTTTCGTCGTCTGTGATGTTACGATGAATGACTGTCCCATCATATATGTCTCGGACAATTTTCAAAACCTGACCGGTTATAGTCGACACGAAATTGTTGGCCAGAATTGCCGTTTTCTCCAGGCGCCGGATGGCAAGGTTGAAGCAGGCACAAAACGAGAGTTTGTCGACAATGGGGCGGTTTATAACTTGAAGCAAAAGATCGCAGAAGGGAAGGAAGTCCAACAAAGCTTGATTAACTATCGAAAAGGTGGTAAACCTTTTTTGAACCTACTAACCATGATTCCTATCCCGTGGGATACTGCTGAAATTAGATACATCATTGGGTTTCAGATTGATCTTGTTGAATGCCCGGATGCCATCGCCTCTCATCAAGGTCCAGGTACCATGAAGGTCAATTACAAGCATAGCGATATTGGCCAGTATATCTGGACCCCGCCAGCATCAAGCCAATGGGAACCAGAGAATGGCCAAACACTAGGGGTCGACGACGTATCTACCCTGCTTCAACAGTTCAATCCTAAAGGATCCGTTTCTGATTGGCATCGGCAATCATGGGACAAGATGCTTCTTGAGAATGCCGATGACGTCGTCCACGTATTGTCCTTAAAGGGGCTTTTTCTTTACTTATCGCCATCCTGTAAGCGTATCCTCGAATATGATGCTACCGAACTTGTCGGGAATTCTATCTCGTCTATCTCCCACCCCTCCGACATTGTTCCAGTTACCCGCGAGCTTAAAGATGCTACTAATGGGAGTTCGGTGAACATCGTTTTCCGCATACGAAGAAAACAAAATGGGTATACCTGGTTTGAAAGTCATGGCTCGCTGTTTGTAGAGCAGGGGAAGGGTCGAAAGTGTATAATCCTTGTTGGTCGGAAGCGTCCGGTTTTCGCTCTCAGTCGACGTGAGCTAGAGGCCAATGGCGGCATCGGCGACAGCGAATTATGGACAAAACTCTCTACATCTGGCATGTTTCTTTTCGTCTCCGCCAACGTTCGGTCTCTGTTGGATTTGCAACCAGAAAACCTTGTAGGGACCAGTATTCAGGAGTTGATGCGCAAAGAATCGCGCGCCGAATTTGGCCGTTCTATCGAGAAGGCGAGGAGAGGACGTATAGTTACCTGCAAGCATGAGGTACAAAATCGTCGAGGTCAAGTCCTCCAAGCCCACACCGTCATGTATCCGGGTGATGCCTCGGAAGGACAGAAACCAACCTTCCTGCTTGCGCAAACGAAGCTTGTCAAGGCATCTTCACGTACGACGGGACCAGCTGTGTCTGCACTTTCTAGTAGACAAGCTTCTACGGGCCACTCATCCGCTGACCCCAAGACAATGTCCACTTTCACCGTTTTACAAGGAGGCGCCGTACCGGACGAGCAGCGCTCTGGCGTTCTATCCGCAGCCGCGGGCGGCGGTATGGCTCCCGGCAATCAAGACAGGGCTCTCGCCTCAGATGACAATATTTTCGACGAACTCAAGACGACCAGGTGTACCAGTTGGCAGTATGAACTGCGGCAGATGGAAAAGGTGAACCGAGTGCTTGCGGAGGAACTGCATGGGCTTTTGTCCAACAAGAAAAAGCGCAAGCGTAGAAAGGGAGTCGGAAATTTTATCCGAGACTGTGCCAATTGCCATACTCGCAACACACCGGAGTGGCGGAGAGGCCCGAGTGGACAAAGGGACCTATGTAACAGCTGCGGCCTTAGGTGGGCAAAGCAGGTTTGTGGCTCTCTTTCCATGCGTGGGTATTTGTCGTACTCTAAGCTAATGACATACACCAGACAGGCAGGGTCTCTCCACGAAATTCCTCCCGTGGTGGTAACGGCGATGCGGCAAGTAAGAAATCCAACTCGCCCGTCCATTCATCTCCATTGCAGCGCGAGATGCCCACAAATGAGATTACCGAGCAGCCTTCCGAGGCAGATAACAACATGGCGGTGCATAGACCGTCGGGTCCTAACATGATTCCCGGTACCAGCAATATCGGTACGACGCCAACCGGGTCTAGGCCCTTTTCGATGCCTCCCCCAAGTCAACCCCTACTTGGCACCGGTGTTATCAGTAGTGAAATGACAGCTATCCAGGAAGAACGGGAGGTGAGCATGTAGAATGCATGCCTTCGGTGGTGCCATCCTGCTATGGTTATCCTTATTTCTCTTTTCGATTCCGATTATAATTGTGCAGAGATACCATATTCCGCTTCCTATCTCCTTTATTTGTCTTCTCTCGCTTTAGCTTCCCTGTGGCACAACTTCGTGCAGGTGTTCGATAGACGGATCTTAAGGCTTCTACACGAGATACCTACCCTCAATGGGCCATTATTGAGGAGACTGTATGCATATACGCGGCGCCGGCTCTTTTATACGAGTAGGCGTTCTTTGCTTTATTGTTTTTTTTTTCGCTTAGGGAAGTTGCCCTATTCTGCCGATGTCCATTTAAAATCGGCAGGCCTCTTCTTACGTGGACGGCAGATGGAAGGGGGGTGAAAGATTGGGATTCAGTGGCTTGAACCCTATGTGCTTATTATGTTCAAGGGGCTGTGTTTTGGGGAGAATTCGACACGGTTTAAATGCTGCGGGGCATGGCTGGTACGCTATGGTTGCACCGATGTGTCAACGGTGTAACGCATATCCTACGCCTTTTTCACGATGGATGGGTTATTTATCAAGTACACGCTTTGCTATGTTGAGATGACGTACACGAATATGAATGTCAGTTTCTGCCAAGAAAAAGAGAAGAAAAGAAGAAAAGAATAATTTATATGTCGAATTTCGATATTTGGGAGAGAGTCTTGCTACTATAAAAAATCGTGGATATTTTCTAGTGTCGTGATTTTGAATGTGAAGGAGGAGGCTTCTTGATAGATTGGTTAACTTGTTATCGTCTCCATAGATATCAACATTCGCCACAGGGGGGAGCAAAGCCGTTATCCAACACAGACAGCCTTTCCAAGCTAGCGACGTCAACGGATGAACTAGATACGTCGCTAACAACAGCCTGGGCGGTATTTATGATTTGATATATAGGGTTACAATTTGGTAGGTATTACCAAATATCGTCCATCCAGATGGTAGCGAGTACTATATGGGTATTGATATTTACGCTGCTGCGTCATAATAAAAAAATGAACACCTGGTACTCAGGTAGGTATTTCTTATATATTTATTTTCATGTATCGTATCTTTAACCAACTACTTACTTACACATACATATCTATATATGTAGGTGCATACTTGGTCTGACTCGATCACCCGTTGATATAAATTGTACATTGTTTTTCGATTTATACCTAGTTATGGTAGGAATTCGTCATCCCATTATACGGAGTTTAGAACGATCCAATGATTATCTCCCACGGCGCAGTTAATTTGGCGCTTGTTATAAATACAGAATATATTAAAATTGGCCAAGTACCTACATAGTTACACACAAACACACACAAACACACACATTAATAAAAATAACAGTACCAACTTATCGGGCCAATATAAAATGGTAGGTACATGTAGGTAGCTTAAACTTTTGGATTAACATTCTTACGCATACTACTTAACTTACTATGTAATTGTATGTATATATGGTCGGTCGATCGACTAGGATTTACACAAATCTGGCAAGTCGCGCGGGAGATGACCCCTGGAGGCTCTGGATAGGTACCGACGTTTATTGTCGAATCGGCTGCTTCGTCGGCGCCTTTTCGGGATGCGACGCTGTCGATGTTCTCCTGAAGCACTGTAGATCTCGATTATTATGTTGTGAAATCATTAGTTCTATTCTGGTATTCTGGTATTCTGGTATTCTGGTATTCTGGTAATGTTCTGGTAATATTCTGGTATTACATATGATGGGGCAAGTTTCATACCTACCTACCCACTAGCCTGACTGCCAGATGGCGACAGCCGCGCTGCCATGCTGTCGTGTACCTACGTAGAGAGGCATCTATCCTAAATTTAGACAAGTTGTTAATTTAGAGTAGATCGTTTTCTCTGTGCAATGGCTGACATTAAAGATACCCCCATAAGAATGCGGAGGTAACCCCATACTCATACTAACCAAGCTTGGTTCAGGGGTCCAACGTTACATATGTCATCCGACCACGAAACACTTCTGAATAAACGACAAGACCAATGATACCTAGTAGCTTCTTTAAAAAGCCAAAGTCCGTATATGTACATGATCAACATACTTTCTTCAAGAGCGTCAGCAAAAGCAAGTCTCGCTTCCGTTATTATAGAAATAGCTAGGTACTTTCATGGGTTGTTCATACGACGCCTCGGTTGCTTCAATGTTTAACAAGGTTTGTATCGAAAACGCACTGTCGTTAGCCTAACAATTCGATCATCCGTTACAACCAATGAACGTCAAAGTAGGTAGGTAAGATATCCTGTCGTGGTTCTTCTTGAACCCCTAAAAATAATTGTTTGGCATACAGTTTACTCAGTTCGACCTGGAGCTCACAGTTGACTTAGACATCCCCCGAAGGATGTGTGAATTGCTAGCTTGATCGCATCAGTGACGGCCAAGGTCATATTGTCAAGAATATACACATAAATATATTACGTCCCCATGCGTCACAGAACTAGCCCATCCCATATAGGAGAAGCGACCGCTGTTTAAACGCTTAGCACATTCGCCTATTCCAAATCCAATTATGCTTTAACCAAAATCTATTACTTTCTGTGGGAATATCCTCCTCATGTGGTCCTCTGATGACACTAAAAGTTAATAAAAAAAATCAACAATGATAAAACCCGGCCAAAGCGCCGATGATATGCAAGTGTTTCCGGAATATCGCCCTTCTTCGATAGCGTGCCAAATATCTAGGAACCATACACTACCCTCAGTCTCCTATTGCCTCCAATAATTTTATCAAATACGCGAAGTGGTTCATATGGCGTGTAATATGAGGTCCAATCGTGCCGCATGCTCGAGAAGTAAGATGCAATCCTGCTCTACGCCGTGAAATGTGCGTGTATCAAGTGCCGGTTTTCTCCCATATAATTCTTTTTTTCTAGGAAAAATACCCGCTTAGCTTCCTAACCACAGCTCCTCCGACCTAGTCGTCAGCGATCGGCAAAGAGGACGCGTGAAGCTTCGAGAGAGGCTTGATGTGTCAGACATGGGCGATACAAGATCATGCAAACTCGCCAGGTGATCTTCATTAGAACTTAAAGCTAACGGCGGCTCCGAGTCGGATAGTAGCAACGCCTCGGCCGTTGTCAGCGTACCCACCTCGTCTGCATCGCTTGCATCGTCTCCAGTTTCCCGTGGCCACCATGGTTCCACAGGCTCTCGTGAGCCTTGGTACCACCATTGATTTTCGAAACCGTTATCAACTGTTACCATAGCCGCAGACAACGACTCGAGCTCCCGAGCTCTTTCAATATCCTCACTGCGATGTCGTTCCATCGATAGGGGAACAGTCGTCGGGTTATTTGCGTAAGGTGATCCGTCGCCGTCGCCGTCGCCGTCGCCGTCGCCATCTGCCGGCCATGCCCATGCCGACCATGGCAGTCCATCTTCACCCAACCGATATTGGCTAGGTGGTGCTGGTAATACTTTCCTGCCCTCCGGTTGCTCCCTGCTCGTTTGCGTGAAAGGCGGAAATAGTGTTGCCGAAGATGCATGGTGGACATCCCAAGGGCTGTCGTTAAAAGGCGGGGGGGCCGACCTCCCTCGCTCGTGCAAAGCTCCTTTATTTTCATTTCTCGAACCGGGTCTTGGCCGAGCCCGTAGGTGTTCGCTAGACTGTTCGTTGGCCTGACCCCGGGGACGCCCATGCTCTCGGGTCTGAGCTACGGCGCGAGATTGCTGCGCGTGGTGATGGTGATGATGATGGTGGTGGTGCTGGCGATGCTGCTGCCGCTCCGGATTATGCCGGCCTGAATGTTCTCGACTACGATTCTGGCGTGGCTCCGGGGCGGCCAAGTAATTGGTATTCGGCGGGGGTACCTGGCGAGGAAAGTTCCCCGAATCCCTAACGCTCTTTAAATTACGGGACATATAAGTCACGGTATGAGTCTGCGGTGTGTGTCGCTGGGACCACGAGACGCCGAAGGCGAGCTGTACGAAAATCTGCGGCTTGGAGATATTGTTACGTTCATTCTGTATTGGTTTGTTCCGGGTTTGATCCATATTGATAGGTTCCGTCTTCCACATTCTTCGGAAGGAAAAGAAGAGAGGGGAGCGTGAAACAGGGCGACTAGGACTTGATAAAGAAGGAGGCTAGAGCGTGCGCTGCAGATGCGGCTACGCCGTCCTGGCTGTCGTCCTGGAATACGTTGGGTGAGCCGCCAATACGGTGCCAAGCCCTTGACGCCAGACGTTCCAAAAGGGCAGTTCGGTGCGGCCAGCCAAAAATACTACCACGGTATGTGTAAGCTGGACAGGCTGGAGCGTTTCCTATGTACTCGTAGTGGAGATTCCTCTATCATGCAACGACCTGTGGTACGTAGTATGTACGGTACGCATGCGCTAGAGTGCCGGAGATGATCTGAGCAGGCCTCAAGTGGCGTAATATGATAAGCCTCGGGAATCTAAAACCTAGGTAGGCTCGACTAAGCAGCCAACGAGTGGAATGGCTTTAAGGATGATGGTGTGCAGGCGATGTCAAGAAAAGGGAGTAGACGTGACAATCCTGCACGGCACTAGGTTCAAGCGGATAAGCGGATATGTGGTATGCGAAAGGAAGCAAGGAGTGTTAATATAGAACAGAGCAAAACAGAACAGGACAGGACAGAATAACAATAGCTATTAGTAACGGTAACAATATGTGTAGACGATGATTCAAGTCGGATGTCGGTGACTCGATAACAGAACGTAGAGAAACGAAGATGAGATTGAGGTTGATCGGTGAAGAGGGGGGTGGGCTAGAGAAATGATTTGCTCATTTCTCTGCATTGTACAGACACTACTAGGTACATTCCTAGGTACAATACTGTATGTACATAGTAGATATAGGTACCTATGTGTCCGGTACCGCATCTGCGCTCCTAACCACCAACGGTCAACCAGCCTTCCAGGAGATGGAAATAGAGATGGAGCTGGAGATGGAGCTGTTAGGTAGATGTGTTGGATGGCATGTACATCCAACGTCCATGGATGTTTTGTGCGGCACGCATGGGCGAAGCGATCCCCAGACTAGCCTACCAGCGTACATATGCATCACAGACCCGTCCCCGGTCCCGATCCAAGACTGATGTAGACTCGCAATTCCGAAATTTCAATTCTACGAAATACAGTCTCCGCCTCACCCAAGCTAGAAAGAAAAAAAGAAAAACGCTAGAAGATCCGTCTAGAATCTGGATAACCCCTGGGGTTTCTTTTTCTCTTTCTTTCTTTCTTGCTGGTTTTTTTTTTTTTTTTTTTTTTATCACCCTTGGAACGGGTGACCCTGGAAAACTTGGCAACTTGGTGCGAAAAACTTAGGTCTAAAGGATGGCAATCCCTGGAGGCTGTGTCAACATAGTACTATGTATGATATTACAACTTGTCGAAACCGCAAACTGCGAGGTTAAGAAAGGTCAAAAAGAGAATGCGAGAGTAAGTTGTCAGGTTGTTTCAAATGTCAAGATGATAAAAGGAGCAAAATGTCGGAAATTGATTCTGACGATGGATGCTATGGACGTACCTGATAATAAATATAGATAAGTATCCGTGGTCCTATCAATAAAGAACGATACTATGCATGTAGGTACCTAGATTTCGGAAACCATCCTGGGACGCCCCTGGAGACAAGGAGCGGAACTTTTGAGCGCGACTGCGCGAATGAGGCGATTCCGGATCGTCGGGATTGTTTCTAAGACCAAGCCACACACCGCTTAGAGGCTTCAATCTGTCGAGTATGATGTTCTAGGCTATGATAAGATAGGATTTATTACAGGACGTATGTAGGAATCTTCCCCGTGAAGGGTAATTAACTTCAGATCTGCCAAATCTTGAATCTTCGTCTCGGAATTTGTACTGCGTAAAATAGTCTAGATGTGAGATATTCCTGTCGAAGGAAGAAGGAAAACGATTTGACGTTTCGAAGTTGACGGAATATGCAATTAATTGCATAATATTGAATTAGTATCTGGTACTCTCTGTATAATATATATGTATCCACTTGATAGGTGCATGTGCTGTGTACAGTACCGACCACAATTAAAGTTGGAAGTTTTAGCACTTTTACTTTTGAAGGTGAACCTGGTACGAAGTACCCAATTAGCGAGCATCGAAACTTGGGACTATCCATACTAGGTATGTATGTACATTGTATTAGTACTAGGTAGTAGCCGAAATAGCAAGGTTGCTACATTGCCAGGTTGGTACCTATACATACATAAATTTTACATATCACATAGTACATAGTACATCCAGAAATAGAATCTTCTTACATTCGATAATCTCAACCTAATATGTATGTACATATCTGCCTACTGCCTATTGATTTTATACATGCATGTGCATGCTGAAATATGTACAACACCGCACCAGTACAATACCACTACCACTTCCTCTGCTTTACACCACTGCAATATCGTTACAAACACATTCTTCATTAGAGTACAGCATCAAATACCTTGGTACAGGCAACTGCGCTATCGTTGCCATCGTATAAATGGGACGCAATCATCCTTAAATAGCCTTACCGCACCCGTAAGCGATCCCATTAGCATGAGTCTCATCTTCGAGGCATCGGATTAAATCGGACTTTGTTAACAGACAGGTAGAGCCAACATTTCCGACATGCCTTGCAATGTTATACGAAAGGTTGGGTTTTGCGCGTGTGTGTGTGTATGTGTGTGTGTGTAAAGCAGCTATCTAGTTCTATATGAGAATGAACTTTCCTATCTCTACCTTTATTTGATAAAACGGCCAACGCCAATAGGTTAGATATGCTAATCCTAGATCGAAATATTGTAACAAGTCCCCTTGCGCCGAGCCCCATTACATCGCAAAATAACAAATATCCGCCTGTGTAAAGCAATAGAAGTAAGCAAATCCTCCAGTTAAGAACACGACCATACGACGAGTACAATTCGAAAAGGAAAATTCGCAGGTTTGAAAGACTCTTTCAGCGATTATCTTGCCTACTCTTCGTCATAGTGGACATGAGTCGCGCTTCGGTCGTGCCCCACGCACCTTACTAGCCTATCCATCAATGTAGGTAGACGACCTGCAGTAACTACTCAAGTATCTCCCAATTCCAACTCCTGTCGTTGTTAAAAGGCCTTCCTAACCTGCATCGATGCCCCAGCTCAACACTGCGTTGACTTAGGGTTTCCTGGCATCGTTATCATCCCAAAAGCGCGTCTTTTGATCTTTGCCCTTGATCATACCGTACACGTCGAACGGGTCGAAAAGCGTGGTGAGGAAGTTTCTCTCTTGCTTATACCCCGGCCCGCTGATCTCCGTAATACCGTCTCTAGCGAGATAGACTTTCGTGGACTTGGGGAGCCACCGACGTGGATGGCGAATGTTCAGCAGAATGCTATTGCAAAGCATGAGCAGCGCCTCGAACACGTAGAAGAACCACTCATAGCGGATGATGGGGCTCAGCGTCGATAGATCGACCTCGGGCGACGAAAAGCTCACGCTGCTGATGTCGAAGAACTCGACTGTTCGGTAAATGCACCTGATCATGATGATCGCGCTGCTGATGTAGAGAGTCAGGAGCGCTTGGTTGATCTTGACATGATTGATGCCATTTCGCAGGCATCTCATGTGGAAAGTTACGGCCAACGCGAGAAAGAGGCAGACGACGACGAGTTGCATTATCAAAGCGACCTTCAGCAGTGTCTGACCCGTTTGCTGTAAATCCACTGGCAAAGTTCGAATGGATTGATAGGCTGCCCCTATGCCACTCAGCGTCTCGATAACTGTGGAAATGGCGGCGAAAGTCGTCAATACACGCCCCGGGTGAATCGGGGAATGATATGGGACAAAGTACAGTACGCGGCCGAGAACGTAGTAATTGCAAAGCTCATATAAGGGGCTGGTTGCTTGGTTAGTAATCTCTTGGAAAACGCTTAAGTGAGCCAACCTACGGAGCGGCATAGATGAGACAGGAGCTGACGACGTAGTAGATGAGCTTCGTATAATCGAATGCCCCGAGTATTCTAGCAATGAAGCCAGCCACAAACAGGAGCGAACAGAGGAAGTAAAGGCCTGTGAGTCTCCAACTCTTATAATTCCTGGATCTTATGGTTAGGGATGAGTTATGAGTACAACATTCAGAAATACCAACATGGCCTGCCAGAAATGAACGCTGCCACTAGCAGTAAAGGCGACCGCGAAAAATATCGGTGCTCCCTTGTCTGGGGCATAGAACCAGATGCTATCGTCGACGTGCTGCCCGTTCTCCATGCTGGTTCGGTACGGGGCTGATGATGTTAAGAGATGTATCTAAGATATGTATGTCTTCGAATAACCGATATTGGTCCACGCCGAGAGAGACGATGAGTTTGATACATGGTAGCCCTTATATAAAGCGGTATGAAGTGTAAAGATTGTTGTTCTAGTCAGAATTAAACCGTATGGTCGGAATCCAACCAATCGTATTACACTGTGGAATACGCCGTATGCTATGTGGCATAATATATATATACCTACTTGCTAGGTGTGTAGCACCTAGATATCATTAAAACTATATAATCGCGAGGTACACGAATCACGATTAATTCGAAACTATACCTAATTGATAGTATACCGATATTATGTTCTTGCCTACCAGGTACTTACCTCGCAAGTACGGCGTATTGATCGTATTCAGCGTATTCGTCGCTAGTAGCTACTAGGTACTGGAACTGGAAGTGGCTTAGGTGGCTTAGATACTTAGCTTAGCTGCTTAGGTCCCCCGGTATCCATTTATTAAGAAGACTTTATCGATAAGAATTATTGGGCGGTACATATGTCGTCATCACCTTGGTGGCACATGAATTAACTCCAGATGTCCCGCTGAAAGATGACACAAAATAATAAATATAACCTTAGAACTTTGCAAAGGGATTCCTCTTCCACTTCTCGTACCTACGAGCCTGGCAGCCATATCGGAACAGAAGATGCCTCAATCAGATAATCTAGACCAGCCAGACAAGGAAAAACTTAAAAAGGCTTTCGATATTTCGAATTTCGACCTAAATGCCGTCATACGTGGCATCCAGTTGACTCTCGTCGGCGGTATGCCTATGTCCCTAATAAACCTAAGTACAAGATCCGATATATCACAGTGGTGATAACTAATTGGCAATGTCCTTCCCTGCGTATAGCCCACCGAGCATTGCAGAACCCCAGTATATTCACGAACGACCATTACAAGCAAGCCGCCATAGCCGTTGCTGCCGGAATCGCCATTCGTATAGCTATTGCCATTCCTGTAAGAAGCCCGAGACTACTAGATATAATTTGTTTCTGATTAGGCTGGCTCTGAACTAATCACGTGCCCATCAGATTATCGGGATCAAAGTTCTTCTTGGTGTTCTGTCTTTGATATTTGATCTTGACAAGACTACCTGGGACGACACGTTGATAAATGGCCTAGACTTGATTGCTAACCATGTCCTCCAAATCCCGCTATTCTTGATGACCCTCATGAGGTATATCACGCCAACACTCGATAATATGTATGTCTATTATCGTATCAGAACACCCCCATCTTATAATCGTTGACATCTAAGCGGCAGGTTCATGGACTCGTTGCGATGGGTCGATATGACCTATGTCCAGAAGCACAAAGACGAGAACCCCGATACCCTTCGGGATATGTACTATCCAAACCTGAGTGGGTATAAACAAAGAGATGGAAGTACGAACTCGACAAGCACTGCAGAAGCTATTACCATGTTTATGTGGCGGTTCGCCCGAAAGGCATTAATCTCCTTGGCCGTATTCGCTTTATCATACGTTCCGTACATCGGACGTTTGGTACTTCCAGCTGCAAGTTTCTACACGTTCCATAAGGCAGTAGGACTAGGACCGGCCGCCGTCATATTTGGTGCCGGAATATTCCTGCCGAAGCGATACCTAGTCATATTTCTCCAGACATATTTCGCATCCCGTAGCCTAACGCGTGAATTGCTCGAACCCTACTTCGCCCGTGTCCATTTTTCTAAAGAGCAGAAACGAAAATGGTTCCGTAGTCGCGAGGGTCTTCTCTTTGGCTTCGGCATCGGCTTTCACACACTCCTACGGGTTCCATTACTTGGCGTGCTTATTTATGGTATTGCTGAAGCGTCAACTGCATACCTCATCACGAAGATCACGGACCCCCCACCGTCGCCGAAATCATCCCGTTTCGAGATGGAACAGTTTACGGCAACTCAGCAGGTCTGGAGGAACAAGCACGAATTCCTCAACCTCCCGCTCGCGAACCTGGACGCTGGCCATGGCAGCCAACCTCCGTCATACAACGAAGCTGTAAACCAAGGGAGCAGAAAGGACCTGTGACATACATGATATGGCTGATTTCGGACATCAAGCCTGGCCAAGCTGAAGTAGCAGACTAGATATGTAGGTAGTCGCAGGTTCGGATCCGTTTATCATTCGAGCATGTCAGAGAGGTTCCCGCCATAAGAATTTAAACATATCGTCCTCTAATGTTCATCCTTACCTCAAACTCGATATCTTAAGTGGGTAGGTCATGAGAATACCGAATTGCCGAGATACGCTGGACTGGGACTCTCCTTATCAGATTGGTGCACAACACGGCACAGCTGTATGTATTTGCTGGCCGTCAATAGGCGCGATAAGGAGAGGAACCCTTGTGTGTGGGGTTAAGGACGGTCTGTTGATTGGTATCGGTATGCTCATACACGCTACATATTGTAACTATAGTACTATGAACATACTAGCGCATGCAGGATTCTAACTCGCATATTTCCGACGTCGCGGACACGGTGCAGGCCGCTACGTAGGTAGACTTTAGAGATATCACGACGTCTGAGGCATTGCGATTGGTGCCTCTCCGCTCCTACGATGCGGGGTATCTGTGATTCCGTGCAGATAGCTTCTGTCGTCATAGGAGAGATATAGATGATATAGATACCTGTTGACACTCACGCTTGGGTATATTTAAAGCTTGATAACCCAGGGCCTATCCAGAGCCTCAAAAGAGGCAACACTGTCTGTCTCACCCCTATCTATAACGAATTGGAAGTTATGTAAGCATAAAGATTCTCCCGAGTGAGTGATATTACTGCCAATCTAACCCATGATAGAGCGAGAATATCCATTAAGCTCTATTCAGTACGTACATTCGAAGATCGCAATGGGCAAGACCGAGATTCGCACAGTTGGGAAGGTTAGCTTCGACAAGCCGGCATACGAACAGGCAAATCTCCATGTAAGTGATATAAGCGATATAAGTGATACAAATGATGCAAATGATGCAAATGATGCGAGCGAGACAAGTGAGACAACTGGCCCTTCTGTAAGCTGATTTATCGTAGAATAGATGGCATCCCGACAGTATGCACCCAAGGCGCACCCGATCATTTAAGGGCGATAGAATTACGTATTAACGCGAGTACAGTTCCATTCGCCGGGACCATTAAGGATGGCGAAACGGTCAAGATCGAATGTCTCGACTGGCAAGTTCATATACCGCAACAGATATGATTCTCATAACGTCTAATATTACTTATAGGACTGGGGGTCAAATAGGGAATAACGACAGCGCGGACGATATCCGGGACGTTGATTTAACGAGGATTCATTACCTCACAGGCCCTTTTGAGGTAGAAGGTGCCCAGCCGGGGGATATCCTCTTAGTCGAGATAATGGACGTACAGCCGTTCCAAGACCAACCAGTATGTAGAACCCAACAATTCCTTGAGAGAGTGGAAACTTCCTCGTCAAGCTGGCCAGGAACTTTGTGCTCTCGACACGTCCTTAAACCCCCTAGACTAGAAATCAACTGTAAAGAAGGGATCGCTAAGTACTGCTGTTGCAGTGGGGGTTCACGGGTGTTTTCGACAAGAAAAACGGAGGCGGGTTCCTCGACGAGATCTACCCGTCCGCTGCCAAGGCTATTTGGGATTTCGAGGGTATCTTTGCCACCTCACGACATATCCCGCATGTCAAATTCGCAGGCTTAATCCACCCGGGGATTTTGGGGTGTGCACCATCGAGCGAGGTTCTGGCGACCTGGAATAAGCGCGAGGCCGAGCTGATCTCGGCCAACAAGCTTGAGAGGCAAGTTGCTTTGCCGCCGGAGCTGAAAGGCATCCACGCCGGCGCATCTAATGAAGCACTCAAAGAGAAGGTTGGTCTTGAAGGTGCCAGGACCGTTCCTGGCCGGCCAGAGCATGGAGGAAATTGCGATATTAAGAACCTGAGCAGAGGTTCAAAGGTTTACCTACCTGTTCATGTTCCAGGTGCCAAGTTCAGCGTCGGAGATCTACACTTCTCGCGTGAGCCCCATACCCCCCTATCCCTTTGTTACATCATCATTGGAGACAAACGAGAAGCACTAATTCGAAATAGAGGGCGACGGGGAAATCTCGTTTTGTGGCGCAATAGAGATGGCAGGCATCATCACGATCAACTTTAAGGTTATGAAGAATGGCATCGCAGATTTGGGTCTCAAGTCGCCTATCTACCTACCCGGGCCTGTCGAACCCCAATTTGGTCCAGGCCGCTACATCTATTTCGAGGGGTTCTCTGTAGATGAACATGGCAAACAGCACTATATGGATGTGACAGTCGCCTACAGACAGACTATCTTGCGTAAGTGCTGCGAGAATTTTACCAAATCTTAGTCGTCGCCGAGATTAGCTGACCGACGGGAAAAGGATGTATTGAATATCTCCGCCGCTTCGGATACAACGACTACCAGATCTACCTCTTGTTGTCGTCTGCGCCTGTTCAGGGGCACGTGGCGGGTATCGTTGACATACCAAACGCGTGCACGACCCTTGGTTTACCCGTAGATATTTTCGACTTCGATGTCTTGCCATCGGGACCGGCGAAGGTACGGGATATGGGGACTTGTGCTTTCGAGACTGGTGTAGCTAAGGGTGAAGTTACATCTGGGGGTAAGAACAGTGAGCATAGCTTCGGTGGAGGCTTGACATACAAGGCGTCTGTAGTTGAGAGAGTCAAAGAGGCAGCATCGTCGGGATCTTGAATATGTGAAATCAGACAGGTGAGAGGAGAGAGAGGAGGTGGATTGTTTCATCAGCGTAATATAAACTACCTGGGTATATGATATATCCCATTACTCTGACCACTTGAACAGGTCCGCAGGTTGATGGTATGATTATCGAGGGAAATGGTATAGGAATCATATGCTGGGAGGTATCATAGTCATGCTTTCTCCACTTGAGGGAATGCGGTCTACTGTCGCAGATTTCGATTCCGCCAACCAATCCGGATGAGGAATATCGCGCCGCGGTCGAGAGAGATAGCGCTAAGAACCGATCGTCACACAGGGTACTAGTGCCTACATACATATTATTAGTACGTGCATGATACCGTAAAGGGTTTGTGGAGAGAGAAAAGGAAAAAGGAAAAGACACGATGGCTCACTACCATAGCTGTTAATGATGCTGAGGTAGATATCCGAAGTTCCAAGCTGGTAACATTACCTATCTGCCTATCTAGTACCTACTAGTACCTACATACATCTTACATACATATACATGTATAGCTACATACTAGGTAGTATCTACCAATCAAATATATTATTGGATCAATTAAGCTTACCTATCAACTAGGTGGGGTCCTCGGAAGAGAGCTTTGGTCTTCTGGTCTCCTGCCTTGAAGTAATTACCCCACCACACCAGCCTCTAACCGGCACCTACCGCTATATTTGTGGCGCCCCCCCAGGGATGGTCCAGGTGGTTTCCTAGGTAGGTACGATCCCTTTCGTGCAGTGCATTCGCAAACCTTCGTCAATCCTAGTTCCCCGAATGCAGCTCTGACATACCTTAGTCTCGTTTGTAGCTAACATTTCTACCTTCTATTCTGTACATTTATTCATTACTTGCCTCTCTTCCTTAACCTGGGAAGTTGGGAGCATGATCTGAGAGACATCCTAGTTACCTAGGTAGTTTAACGAACTATTTTCATTTTCCGAAGAGACGTGTCGAATCTTTTCCCCAACTATTCTCTCTTCGCTAGCACTTCGCGACCATTAGCCATGACCTAGACGTCTTTAGCAAGCCAACCTTTCCCGGGAGTTTAGTTCCATCAGACGAGAAAACGGCTTGCTTCTAATTAGGAATGCGCCAACAATGGCCGATGATAATCCTCGATTATCTGGCCGACCAGACGTGTTACGACCTCGTCGGGTCGTGACGGCACCTGTTGAGTGCCCGCCTCCTGCTCCTACTCCTACTCCTGCTCCAACTTCAACTTTACCTCCATCTTCATCTTCATCTACATCTACATCTACACCCACTTCATCGTCGCGCTCCGAAGACCTGGTCGAGACTCTTTATAGCCACCCTTCTGTTAAGATCATCGCTTTTACATCTACTCAGCGTGCCTCCTTTGGTTCGCGAAAATCCTCCACCGATGTGGATAGACCGGGTACCCTGCCAGCTTCGTCGCGTCTCGAGAGGACGATCGCCGTCGGTACGTTAAACGTGTTTAACCTAAGAAACCTTATATTTAACCTTGGACTAACCTAAATCTTTTTTTAACAATCCAAAAGGCCCGTTCCGCATTTATCGCGCCCCAGGCTCCGTCGCATTTCTTAGTTGCGGCTCGGCCCTACAACCCATCCTACCGAAAAGTCAATGCTGGTGTATCGACGAGGAAAATAGTAGATTCGTCCTACAAATACGGCGGCCACAATACTGGAGAATTGAGCTCCCAGTATCCGACCCTGACGATCAAGAACGTGCTTTACTACTAAGGGATATTCTCGATAAGGCTCTGCTATTTGAGAAGACAGCATGTCCCTTTCAGAGAAGTTTCACGGTAGAGCTACCAGAGGAGCTAGAAGTTAGAAAGAAAGCTTGGACGCCCGACGGCAAGAACTTAATATCAGATCCATTTCTACCTATAGTGTCACCGTCACCTAAAGGTTTTGGTGGTGATCAACGAGCCAACCTTCTAGCCGACCAGATTGCCTCTTTTAGGGTCGACATTGGTACCATTAATGAGCTAGACGAATCAAGATTCAAGAGATGGCAGAGCGAGAATCCTGAAGAGCCAGAAATCACAGAATTTACAGAAGGAAAGGACTATAGTGCTCGTTATTACAACAATTTGAATGAATGGCGGAGAGCCGATGCGGCGTCTGCCGATACCTTCAAAGATTTACGCACGGCCTCGAATATAGTTGTGACGCCGAAGCCGCAACGTATTGCGGAAGAGTTGTCGGACAATACCAGTGTAGGCAAGGAAGAGATGATTCTTGACTCTGGTAAAGAGGAAGAAGCTACTGATGAACCTTCTTCCTTCGAAGGGTCCGGTCGCGTAGCTCCTATGAATCTTACTAGGAAGCGAATGAGCCGGATGTTGGCTGGCCGCGCCTTTACTGCTCCTCCGCAGTTGTCTGTGATAACCTCACCCCCCTCAAAGTCGACGCAGTTATCGAGCGCAACCTCATCCCACCCGCCGCCGCCGCCACCTCCACCTCCGCCCCAACGTTTGGGATCAGACGATAATTCGCCTGTTGGGTCTACAGACTCGTTTCATAGTACTCAATCATGGCATTCGCCGATCGCGCCACTGCCTCCGTCGCCTCCATCATCACGCCCAGTCACGCCGTCCATATCTCAATTTCCCCATCCCCATGAGAATATCGTTCTCCCTCGTCCATCGTCACAAGGAAGAGACAACCGAGTGTTTATGCGTACACCGGATACGGATAGAACATTCATCCCAAGCTCCGCAGGGCTTACGGACCATGCAGACGATTTAGCCTCCCCTTTGTCCCGCTGCCCTTCGGATAGCGTTGGCATGCGTACGAAGCCAATATCCGCCGCCGATGGCTCCTCTAATGCATCGCATGCATCTGCCTCGGAAGAGGCACAGGAAATTCAGCTACGGCCGCGGCCGCGAATTAATAGTTTGTCCTTCAGCCGCCCGGCCCTCTCGCCGCTGCCATCAGCCATTAATTTCTTCTCGCCACCTCAAAGGCAAACTTCTCGGAGTCGCATGGACGTTGTCCGCAGACTACCAGGCGCCATCATACAGAAAACCGTCGAAATGCTGCTGGCGCCGCCGACTCATCTTGTGAACTTGATGCTGAAGGTTGCCGCTAAAATTGCATCGGGTGAGTGGCGCGGTCTCGTCTTTGGCTTTGGTGAGGGTGGTGAGAGAATTCCGGTTCAGTGGGATTACTCTGATGGGGAGTTTAGCGATTGGAGCGACGATGAAGATTATGCTATGGCAAAGAGCAAACAGAGCAGCAACAGTAGCATACCGCAGACGGCTGACGGTAGCCGACGCGATTCGGCAATGACTAAGGATAATCGTAGCTGGGAGGTTGATTAATGCTATCTTGGTTAGTATGAAATCTGTATTATAATGGGGGTTTAATGATATGGGTCGGTATGGTCTACTGCATGGGAAGGGGATTGGAGTTAGGAATACGGCGAAATTACCATCACTGTTGACATTTTCTTGTCCGAGTTGGAATTGGACAAAGGAGGATATCTTGTTTAGGAGACAACGTCTACCTTCTAATCTAATCGACTAGCCTAATGGTATCTGTGTCGGTATTCATGTTGGTATTATATCGGGAAAGCCACTCCACTCTACGTAGAATAGAGCCTATCGGCGTATAAAATGTAATAATAAGCCTACACGCGCAAACATAGCCTATCTCGTTAGGTAGTCTAACGCCAAAGACTTTGGTTTATCATCGAATGGCGCATGATTTCAAGTCATCATGCTCCTGCATGAACCATGTTTTACACGTGCTCTATATATTAGTATCTGGGGATTGGGAGAATAAAACTACTCCCATTGTTAATTACAAGGCCGAGACTGATGCGTATATACATAAGGTCATCCGTCGGGGTTTCCATACTAGAGGTCACGACCAACGGAGTACCTAGCACTTCTGTTACTTCACTCCCTATGATGGTACCTGCCTCTTCTACCGTGCAAACCGTAACCGACTGCGCAATATCGCGCCGTTAGCGGTCTCAACAAACATGGGCACAAGCGACTTTGAAGAAAAAAAAGAAAAAAAAAGGGGGGGGAGAGAGAGAATGAAAAAGGGATGGGTCCACATCTGGAAAGCATGTGGCCAAGTCCGGGGGAAGATATAATAGGTACGACGGGCTATGTACCTAACTATGAGTTATCCTTGATCTCGCTGATATCCGAATGGCCAGTCTGGATTGCATGCTCGGCGAGGGATTTCTGACCCTGGCCTAGCCAGCCGCACTGGTTGCACATGACAACAAAATCGGAGGTGTCTGTGTAATAGTGGTGCTCTTCCTTAAGTTTCTTGCACAACTCCTGGGTGTGGGTGATGATATGTTCGCTACTATCTACAGCCCAGCGCGCGACGTCGAATTCTAAGACTTCTTGGCCCTCGACAAATATCTCGGCGACGCGGTCGTAGTGGATGTTAGAGTAGACAATGACGCAGCGCATCTCGTAGCCGTTCCCCTGGCCGATCCGGTATACATTTCCTGTCTTGACATCGACGACGGAAATCTCGAGCTGGAAGACCTCGGATATGACAGAGAGCTCGATGTCGCCTCCCCATACGTCGGGTCGCAGCATGTTGTTGCAGTATGCTTGCGGGCTCTTGCCAAGGATGACGGCAGTGTACTTCTCCGGGTTGGCGTGGATGTGATCGACAACAATACGGCGAAGAGCCTCGGCACTGAAGAGCTGGTCTGGGTCTGAACGAAACCCACGCAAGGCACCACCGACGGCTGTGAATAGACAGCTGTTGTCATCGGGCATGACTCGAAGGACTGCGGTAAGCACACGGCGTCAGTTAGGGGCGCTTTACTCAAATGCGTAGATGGATCACAGTTTGTTGGGCTACCTACCTAGAGTAGAATTTGTCTCGGGCATAAACACACTGATTTGCTGGTCCTTGATGCCTCGGCCTTTACCCTTAGATGGTTCTAAGTTAGGGGAGGTGTCGGGGACGGTTGGCGCAGCGGAGGCTTTCTCTAGAGGCGCGATGGTGAGCACTTCGCGATGGAGACCCAAGGACTGCACGGTGACATCACTTTCGTCAGTACCTAGTGCTTTTGGTGGCCAGCCATACTTGACCGAAAAGTTTTCCAACCCGGTAGTAGACTTCAGGGCTTCGAGAAGTTGGATCACATTGGCATCGTCGTCAAGCTCCAAACTGCCTGGTCCGGAGGGGGTTCTGTATCGGACCTTCATGATTTGGATGGGTAGATGTTTGGAGAAAGGGAAGAGAGAGAGGAGACTTTGACGTATATATACCTAGGTAGGTATGTTCGAATGGGTACGGGTGTATCGGTATCGGTATAAGTATGACTCTGGAACTCGATTTACACGTTGGTGTAAAAAGGACAAGTATATGAATCTGTACCTCTTTTTTGTTTGTTTGTTTTCAAGGCTGTGTTTTTATTATTCTCCTAAAGACGATCTGGTATTAGTGATAGTGGCAGTGGTATTAGTAGCTGTAAGGGTATCCGAAGTGGTAAGCTTAAAGGGCCAAACCGATATCAAATCAACGCTCTCTTCGTGATCGAAACTCTTTGAGACCCGCTCTATTTACACACAATGCAAGCTAGCGATCGTTAAAACCAACCGCAGGTGCTGCCGATATTTACTGTACATACCTACGTAGGTAGTTGTATGTGGAAGAGAGGAGCTGATCGAAAACCCGCCGATAACCCCTCCATTCCCGGGGTTAGACGGGGTTACTAACTTAGACGAAAGACCCGTCTTTTACATAGACCCGATTATCTTTATAACAGAGCATGTGTAACAAAACCGGAACTTGGTCATAAAAGTTGAGTTTAAGCTTTGAATTCAAGGTTGCCAAGACAAAACACTTGAACACATCTTTCTCTTTGAACCTGCATGTGAGTGTGAGGTGTGAGTGTGAGCGTGAGCGTAAATGTGAGTGTGAATGTGAGTGTGAGTGTGAGTGTGAGTCCGGGCTCGGTCTACCTTCGCATCATAAAAGAAGAAGAAATACTGGGTACCTAGTAAGTGACAGTATTGTCAATTGCTATTTGATTGAATACTAAGTCTTAGTTCTTCACAGTACTGGTGACCAAGTATCAGGTCAATCCCCTCTAGTATCCCCCCTAAAGATATTATATATTGCACATAAATTCGAAGATCGATTATCATATATGGTCACGCAATTATGAGCGCCGCTGACGCAACTGACTGGCTAGGCCTGGGAGAGGGGAATTCTAATACCCAGGTAACTCAACCCATGGCCCTATCCATAATGCTAAACGAGACCAGGGCCGTGCCATCATAGGAGAGGCTGATGACGACACTGGCTGCAATGCTGTTATCACTTGAGGCCTACACTCTATTATATATGTGTGATCCTGTCTCGTCACCTAAATCTTATGAACTGGTATATTGGATAGCTACGCACTATGCCTAAGTATAACCCTTCATAGGTTATACCTCAACTCGTCTAGGTCGCATTCGTATCTGTTACATAGGTGCTATATCACCAGAGGGGAAAGGGTAACAAAGCTTTGCAGCTTGGAAAGATAGAACAGATATCGTTTCGTATTATTCTACATCTTACTATTCATCTAAGCGTATATCTAAAAATGGTAGCAGACAAGGACGACCAGAAGACAACAACACAATCATCAATACGAGGGGACATTCGCCAACATGAAAACGACCATGACGGCACCTCTGGTATTGGACGCGCTTGGATTAGATTCATGACCTCCGTCGGATGGTATCCAGCGGATATGCCGAGTGAGGAGAAGCGGCTGATCCTGAAACTTGACCTGAGTATTCTGATTTTTGGCTGCCTGTCTTTCTTTACCAAATATCTTGACCAGCAGTCGATTACCAACGCATATGTCAGGTACGTGTTCAGAGTATTACCAACATGTTTTATAAAACCAATTTGCTAAGAGGGTATTGCTACTGCCAGTGGTATGAAAGAAGAACTCGGGTTGTATGGGGACCAGTTGAACTACATCACTGCAACATTTTGGGCATCCTACTGTGTCTTCATGGTCCCGGCTTGCTACCTCTTAACGCATTATCCTGCTAACCGAGTTCTCCCGACTCTAGAGATCGGATGGGGGCTTTCCACCTTTGGCCTAGCTTGGGCTAGGAACGTCGAGACAGTATATGCGATGCGGTTCTTCACTGGTGTCTTCGAATGCTGTTCGTTCACAGGAACGATTTACGTCATCGGATCCTGGTATAAGCCGGGAGAAATTGGCCGTCGCGTTGCTTTCTTCTTCATTGCGAGTCCCCTTGGAACTATGTTTGCTGGGTATCTCCAGGCCGCAGCTTATACGAATTTGAACCAGGTGCGTGGGTTAGCAGGATGGAGGTACGGCTCCCACGCCAAGATAAGCTTGCTTCGATGACCACGAGGAGAATTTGCTAACTATTCAGATAGATGGCTCTTCGTTGTTGATGCCATCATCACTCTTGTTATAGCAGCAATGTAAGTTGCCCCAATTTCCTCATATCCGTGAAACTAACCTCCTAACTCGTTCCAGCGGCTTTGTCGTCTTTCCCGATGTGCCGTCAAGGAAGAAACCGCGATTTATCACAGAAGAGGAGCACGCCCTTGCGCGTAAACGACTCCATAGAATTGTGGCGCCGCCGCAATTACAGCTATCCCGGGATATATTCAAACGGGTGTTTTCTCGTTGGCATTGGTACCTCTTCGTCCTTCAATGGACCTTGATGGACCAGAACTTTCTACCTGGCAGTACACCATTCTCATTGTATCTGAAAGCGAAGAGTAATATGTATTCAGTCGTCCAGGTTAACACGATACCTACTATTGCTACGGCAGTGAGTATTGTGGTCGCCTTGTTCTGTGGTGTCATCGCAGACAGAACAGGTCGATTTTGGGTTCCCGCTATTGCTGTGACTTTCCCCGTCCTCGTGGGCATGATACTACTTGTAACTTGGGATGTTGGCGAGAGCGGACGTCTAGCTGGGTTTATTCTGACAGGGTTTGAAGCTGGTAAGTTCACGCACTTTTCTCCCCATTTCAATTCCTATTTCTTTGTCTCTGCCTTCTCCCTTGCGTATTTGATGGTATAATGATATATGCTGATTCACCCCGTAGCCTGCTCACCTTTGACAATGGGCTGGGCGTCGGTGGTGATGGCAGGAGATGCGGAGGAGCGAGCAGTAGTGACTGCGAGTATGAATGCCATCGGCCAAGCAATCACAGCAGGCACACAGATTGTCCAATATCCGGCCAGCCATGCTCCTAATTTTCGGGGTGGATTTATTAGTGTTCTGGTAACGACAGTTGGCCAATTAGGCACGATCCTGATTATCCTATTCTTAGATCGTAGGGACCAACGACGGCAACAAAAACAACGTCAAAATCAAGTTGAGGACCCCTCTGGATTGGACAAGGCAGTCTAGAGACTTATGTTCAATGTCTAGGTACCAAGCTACCAACATTGAAGGGTTTTGACAGAACTAATTATGTTTGTACACATGTATGTAGGTACCTAGTAGGCATTAGCCACATAATACAAGCCACTTTGAGGAAATATTACATAAGTACTTCTTTATCGGTTTATCTACTATTAGATACATATGTATGTAGGAATCTATACATATGTACATAAGTACTTTGTAAGCTACCAGGTACCTAGGTACCTCCTATTTTTAATTCGTCTCGGAATAATACCGGGTAAACTTAGTTGCACGGTAATCTTATTAGCAGCTCAATGTTGCAAGTCAATTAAGTGATCACTAACAACCAACAAGAACTACTCGAAGTGCTGTTGTCGATCTTAAGACCGTCCAGCTTTCGCGCCATTGTTTACCCTCAATTTGACCGCAAACCTCAATATCTAGTTCGAAGCTTGACTACTCACGAACGAACCCAACATTGTTTCCTTTATTTAATTTCGAACCTCTCATCATGGCTGACGAGGCCGGCAAGCCAGCCGAAAGCGCGGCCGAGGTTCGCGAGTCTATCGAGGCCAAATCCACCGGCGATGACAACAAGCAAAATAAGGACAACGTGCAAGATATTAACATGTCAAAGAATGATGCAAACGATAGTAATAGTGCAGACATATCTCGTCCAACTTCGGGACCCAATGCCAACGAGGACGGAGAGGCAGATGCGGAAGGCGACGCAGATGCTGACGGTGAACCGGAAGAAGAGCGAGTCCCTGGTCGACTCGGCCACAACATGTTGACCATAATCGAGAATACGGCGAATTATCTTTCTACCTACAAAGAGGAAAAGTAAGTTTCCTATTTTCAATTCCCATTTTCAATTTTTATCTCTATTTCTATTTGTCCTAAAATCGTCCACCCCGTAACCATATTCTTAACTAACGTGAACGTGAACGTGACAGCGGCTACCAAGTTGCCTTACCCTTCCAGCGCATCCCGAATCGACGACACCTGCCCGAGTACCACGAAGTAATAAAAGAGCCTATTGCTTTTAGTACTATTCGCGTGAGTATAATCCCTATGTGTTTGGCTATCTTATATCCTAATCCTCGGTAATAGACCAAGAAGCTCAAGAAGCAGTACACTGCTTTCTCTGAATTTGTCAGAGATGTCGCTTTGATATCCCATAATGCTATGGTTTATAATCGCCCCTCCTCCGAGTTCTTCCAAAGCGCTGTTCGTCTACGAGAGATCTTTAAGGAGGAGCTCCAGAAGTTAGTTGACGACGGAACTATCAAACCCGAGGAAGCCGTGCTTCCCGATTTAGGCGAGATCCCAGAAGCGGAAGATTCTCCGCCCCCAGATCTGGAAGATGAGGACGAGGAGGACGAGGATGATGAAGATGAAGATGAGGATGAGGATTCAGACGATGATGGCATCCGCCGACGAGGTAGGCGAGGTGGTCGTCGCTCCTCGACCTCGGGTAGAAAATCTGATATGAGAGAGGATGATTCGCACAAGAAGCGAGGCCGACCCCCTAAGGTCTTCACCCCGCTCGAGGCTCGTATCCATTCCTTGTTGAAGGGCCTTCGGAAATTCAAGCACCAGAACGGAGAGCTATTGATCGTTCCATTCGAGAGACTCCCAGACAAGCAGGCGACGCCGGATTATTTTGCTGCCATCAAGAATCCTATTGCTATGGATCTAATCAAGCGAAAGGCCAAGAGAAAGAAGTATCAGAATGTGGACCAAGCCCTCAGGGATCTCGACCTCATGTTCGACAATGCCAAGCAATACAACGAAGAGCAAAGCCAGCTCTACAGCGACGCGGTTGAATTGCAACGTCAGGCTCACATGCTTGCTGAGCAAGAGAAGTCTAAACCAGACAATGACTTCGAAGATGAAGACGGTAGACGACCTCTACCCGAGATTTTCCACAACGGAGAGGTCTGGAGAGTTGGTAAGTTGTCTGTATTGCCATGGTGCGTTGTATAGAGGGTACTGATTCTGCTTAGGCGACTGGGTTCACATCACCAACCCCAATGATTTAACGAAGCCTATCGTCGCCCAGATCTATCGAACTTGGGAAGACAAGTCGGGGCAAAAATGGGTGAATGCGTGTTGGTATTATCGTCCGGAGCAGACTGTCCATCGTTTCGAGAAACATTTCTTGGAAAATGAGGTGGTCAAGACTGGTCAATATCGAGACCATCGCATCGACGAAGTTGTGGATAGGTGCTTCGTCATGTTCGTAACTCGGTATAACAAAGGCAGACCTCGAGGATTCCCCAAGGATAAAGAGGTATATGTCTGCGAGGCTCGATACAACGAAGAGAAGCACAAACTCAACAAGATCAAGACGTGGGCGAGCTGTGTGCCCGACGAGGTTCGCGAGAAGGATTACGAGATGGATCTGTTCGAGGTTCCTCGCAAACTAAGAAAAGTACCTAGTCCTATCAAGCACCTTCTTCGAGATGATGCGAAGCCGACCGATGCTCTACCTAAGCCGACCTGGGGAGCTCCAAATGCACCCCCCCTTATCGGAGCTGTACACTGTCGGGACAGGGAGCCGAATGTAAGTTCTCTTCGTTTCTTTGATTTTGATTGCCTGCCTAAGCCTCGTCACCTGCCACTTCGCATCTTCATGCCCTTTACCCTTCACACCCCCCGACAAGTACAAAAAAAATGGAATAAAAATAAGATTAAAGAGAAGGAAGAGAAACAAAATAAGAAGGGAATCTGACCTGCCCCTCTTGTATCTTTTCCTATCCCTTCTTATTCTTATCGATTGCGCATTGTAAGATTTTCTCCTACAAAAAGAAAAAAAAACACCCGTTATGATAGATGGATGTTAATCCCTTTCTCTTTTCCCACTGTCTCACTAAAGCGCGTCACATAATATTGATTTAATTTCTCATTCACGCTGACACGGATTCTTTCTATAGGAATCTCCACCGCCGGAACCTACACCATCTCCTCCCCCTGCTCTCCCAATCATCGATCCAGTGCGACGTCCTTCATTGATGCAGTCAGCTCGCCCCGTTGACAGCCAGGGCGATATTATGATGGGCAACACGCCCCATTTTTCGACTATTCCGGCAACGCCCACGGCCACGCCTGGACACGTCGGCGTATATGCATCGCCGCATACTTTCGTACCGCGTCCCAGCCCTACTCCGGTTCCTGTTCCGCCGTATGCCAATCATACTGGCGCTTCTGCTCATCACACCTTTCCCGTCCAAGGAGTCCAAGGAGTTCAAGGCGCCCATCATGTCGCCCACAATCACAGCACGCCCCAAATGCCCCAAACTCCACATTTTCAGGCTCATCAATCGCATCAGCCTCCTACTTACAATGGCTTTCCGCCTCAATACAGCACAACCCCGATCCCCATACCTCACCAGCCTCACCATGCCCCGCCGCATCAAATAAACTCTCCTATACCCAACTACGACCCGTCGCATCGCCTTGCGCCGTCGCCCGCTCGTCCTCCCATGGCAGCCACCCCTGGTCCAAGTGGACATGCTCAACCTAATGCCTATAATCCGCCCCGTCCGGTCGAGGTCTACCATTTGGATGATGCGTTGAACGACAAGATTCCCACCGAAGTTCGGGAACAATTCCAGCGCGACGAGGCTGGGCGTGTGCTGTTCTTCACCCAGCCGCCACTGGACCGCCCGCACCGCGGTCTATCGGCCGAAAGTGCTACTCTTGGTCATAGCGTTCGTTATCTCGCCGACCGTGCGCGCGAAGTCGAGGATCGTCGGGCGAAGCGTAAGGCAAGAGATGAGCTGCGACAGCAAGAAGAGAAGAAGCGCCAAGAAATGGAAATGCTTGCTACCGAGAAGGAACGAAACCAAATGATCGACGTCGCTAGCGACATGTTTGTAGGCTGGATCAACGATATGAACAAGGGGAATGAAATATTGAAGGCGGCGTACGACGGCTGGAGCTGTCGTGATAAGGATATCGACGCTGTTGCCAAGACATCCGCGGCCTAAGAAATTAAAAAGGATACCTAAGCACCAGAGTGACGAGAAGTCTCGTAACTACCGCACTCTCATCTCGAGTCAGATGTTTTCACGGCGTTCGTGGAGGAAGATAATGGGCAGGCTAGCCTCCTAGGAGTTACGAAAGATACCATTTACTGGCTGGGTCTAGGTCCTCTGCTATGACACATGCTTGTTTTCGCTGGAATGGAAAAATCCCGAGAGTGCGAGTTTTTGTAATGTACTTATTCCACTGTCTGTATGATCACAATGGCAATTGACGTGATGGCCATTTCTACTAATTGCGGCTTTGTTAGATTGTGCGTAACGTCTTCCTCACCTTTAACTTTCGTAGTAGTATAATATCCCAGAACGACTAAGCCACTTACCCTCGGTGGTCATACCCATGACCATACCGGCTTTGACCCATTAACCACTACTCGCATTACGCGTACGAATAATTAGATCACCTTACCATTTCAACAGATAAGGGGTCGGATCTATCAAACAATGCGTTCACTAGCAATAATATTCTTCCCACCAGTGCTTCTTAGCCGTGTCTATATTGCTAAGTATCAAGTCGAGATACAAGTTGTTTTTGGCCCAGTTGCGCCATATCCCACGTAAGAATCAAACTCGATCCGGATAGGTAGGTAGCAATGCCGAGATGGTTTGCTGCTATGTGACTAAACCATACAATCATTCGCCCCTCTTCTCCTAGTCATCCGCCACGACGGAGATCGAAATAGCCGAACATTGTTTCAGCCGCGATCTGAATTTGGCATTAAAGGTGGTATCATGATGATGTTAACCATTCTCTCATTCTTTCAGACGCCTTTTTCCCCCGCAGCTCATCCTGCGGGAAGTTCTCCACAGATCGAATGCCCCTTTCGTCTCGGAGCGGACAGGTTCGCAACGCGAACATCACGCTTCGGCCGCCTAAGAAAAATGACGTCTGATGATTGCCTGTCCTTCCTGTGAAAAGTGCTGCTGCAACAGCGGCGTTGGGTCAACATTCGCGGACTGGAGCAGAATCTGAATCGCTCGAGCGACACGTGCGCCAAGTTGGCCGTGGAGCATTTCAGTCTCGAGAGCTTGTCCGATATACACGAACACCTTATCTACCTGACTAGTTACTGCGGGATTTTGTCTATACGCAAAATTAGTGACCCAGATTTTGTTACATACTTGATGCATAAGGGAAGGAGCTGCGCCTTTCATGTAGCATGGGGGTGAGGTTCGGGCTTACTGTTCGATTAATTCCACGAGATATCCATAGGCGTATGGTGCTGCCTCTTCATCATTGGTCACTGGTAGGGTGTTGATCCTATATGGCGAGTTTATTAGTACTATTATTTGGTACGAGACCGCTTCGAATACATACCATTGGGTTGCGATAGCTTGCGGATCTTGCAGGCTTTGCTTGTTAAAATGAAGGATCTTCGCGATGGCTGCGCAAGCGTTTTCTATGTATCCGTTAGTTACTATTAAAACATGTTTTCGGTTTAGCGATGTGACTGACCGGTAGCGTAAACAGCCTCCTCGCCCCGGGCGTCGGGTATTTGTGCTGCCTGGAACAAATAAGGTATCGAGGTCGCTAGGAATTGAGACCAAGGGGTTCCCCCACGATGAGCGGCAACACCAATACCGTACCTATCGAAAATGTCAGCAGCGCACTTATTATTAATTGTATGGTTTTACCTACGCGGCAGCTTGTCTAATAGCAGCTGAGGGATCCTTGCAGCCTTCTAAAAGAGCAGTACTTATAGCCTGAGCATAACGAACACTCTGTGGACCACAATATTCAAGGACGTCATCCATAATGCATAATCCCCACTGGCGTTGGGTCGGATCTGTCGAGGCAAGGAAACTTTGGTATGTTCCCATAAGACGCTCCCACGGCTGGAGGAAAACCTCACCGTGGTTCTTAAAGATGGAGTGGAAGGCTTTGTTCATATCGGATAAGAGGGTTTGGTCGTCCTCGATCGCAATTAGCAGTTCTTCGGCTTCATCTTCGGCGTCTTCAGCAGCCGCTCCTTCTTTATCCTCCTCACGCCGCGCAACGCGGTCCTTGTAGTCTTCGATAGCCGAATAGACCCCATCAATAAACTTTCCCATGTGTTGTTGGGTAAGGCAGTTTTTACCAACCACCTCGACCGATTCATAGAAGCATTGATACATCTCGGCTAGGGCGTCGATGGCGGGTTCGGCAGTCAAAACTTCCAGTAGTTTATCCACAGTTCCAGCCCATAGACCTCGGAGCTCGTTAGACTCCGGTCCGTAAGCCTTCTTAAACGAGCTAAGGAGCTGCGGGACAAGTTTCGCGGATATAAATCTAACTGGGTCATGGAAGAAGAATGCTAGACCTGGGAGAGCGATCTTCTCCATAGTGTCGGCAACATACGGAGCGAAATGGCCTTCCAAAGTCTGCGCGTAAACAACGAGTAGCTCAATCGCCATATGCTTGTCGTCCATCGTGCTAGTTCTAATTCCGATCATCTTTCCCTTTAGCGGCACCAGCTCCCAACCGTCCTCTTGCTGGAACTGTTCAATCTCGTCATCCGTGTCGAGCAGTTGTATGTCGGCCTTAGCACTGGCCAATTCCACCAACGGGGGCATGACGTTCGGTAGGAAACGCAGGAAATCGGAACCCATAACTCTACACATGCGTCCCCAGCAATGCATGAGATACTGCGACTGCGGGTCATCGGCGTCAGTAATGTTATTTTGGATGTTAGCAAGAAGGTCGACCAGAGTCATCGCATCATTTCCGAGACGGTCCTTGCCAACAGCTAATGCTATCAGAGTAGCACATTCCATAGCCTTCGCGCGCAGTAATCGGTACTCCTTTTCGGTTTCTTGCTGCAGGACATTAACAAGTAAAGGCATGAGAGTATCGTAATATTTGGAAAAGGCAGCCTCGGCCGCATCAGCGATGGTAGCGATGGTGGACAGGGCTTGCTCCTGGACGTAACGCTTCTCGTTTTGGAGAAGTTGGAAGAGGTGAGACAGTAAGTCGTCGAGGTAGGGTTCCAGGATGCTCTTCTCTGCCTCCTCACAGAAATTAACCAGTGCCGCGGCGGCGTGTGCCTTGACACGGCCCTCCGGCGAGTCTAGAACGGGGATGATGGTCTTCAGAATGGTGTCATAGTACTCTTTCTGCATCGTAGGCGCAAAATCCGTGCTCATCTGGCCGAGGGCCTGACATCCAGCCCAGCGAACTCGAGGGTGGGGATCTTTCAAAGCAGGAACAACAAGCTCGAGAACCTGGCTAAGCTCCTTGACCATGAGATCACGACAGCCTTCGGAGATGGCGGAAATTGCCATGAGTGCTGCGTGACGATCCTTCCACGCCATAGAAGTCATCATCCTAGGAAGCCAGTGAAATGTCGGAGCCAGAATAGTCTCACCGCCAAGTTTGTTAGCCAACCGGTCCATGCATTGTTCCCCGGCGACGTGATTTAGATCGCTTTCTTCCTGGTCGAAGTCGTCAGACGATAACCATTCGGCGGCGTCATCGTCGTCTTCGCCTAGGTCCGTCATCAGGCTAAGGCACTGGGTAATCATATCGTTTGTGTACGAAGGATCCTTGCGACACATGGACGGAGCGTAATCGGCGAACGTAGCCATCAGCTCAAGCGCATTCTGGCGACAGAGATCGTTCAACTCCTTGTCCTGTATGACGCCAACGCTAAACATGACCAGATTGTGGAATAAAGGCCTAAACATCTTGGGTGACGTCTCGGCTAATTCTATCAGCGCTACGAGAGCCTTACTGAGATCTTCGGAATCATGCGAATCCTTGATAGGAGGTAGAATATTAAGAACGTCAGGGAGCAGTGAAAAATACTTGGGCAACGTTTTTTTAGGGAGACTTCGGAAGAAGGAAGCGAATGCTTCCATAGCAGCTAATCGAACAGCCACTGAATCATCCTTGAAGCCTCTGTTGAAGGCCTCAAGAACGGCAGTTTCATGCTGCTTTTCAATAATACCGGGCGTCGTCGCAAATACACGATAGGCTGTCTCGCGCTGGCCCGCGTCTGCTGCTACGCTAAGGTTGAATAGGACGGCTAGGATCTCGGGCCATTGCTCATCTGGAATGTCGTTAGCGGGTGGTTTCGCGAGCGTGGCTGCCGTGCTGCGACAGCTCCTCCCGGATATTCGTCTCAGAGCCATAGCAAATGATATTACTATAGACGTGGAAAACCGCGATCGAGAGCACGAGACGGGGGAGAAAAGAGAGAAATATGACGAAGCTGTGAACTAACTTGTTTCTGAATATTGCCTTGCAACGTCGGCAACAGCATCGCTAATTTTGTTCCTGACAAGGCGATCTCTCTCGCTGGCTAGGGTATCGAGAAGTTTTTGGCGGATGATGCATGCCTGCGCATGGGGCAAGGACACAAATATCTCTATACTATCTCCCTTGTCGGTTTTGCGTGACTTGGAGGCTATTCGACGGAATATAACTGCGGCGAACGAACGAAGCTACGCGGGGGGTGGCAGCCGAGCTGATTAGTTCTTGTAGGATTCAAACAACGGATGGATAAGTACAAAGAAAAGGATGTGCGTACCGATGTCTCGTTCGGGGCAGCTATCTGCTCAGCTAAGCCCACCAACAGGACGTCAGGCCGAGTATTAGTCCAGTTATTTTGCAAATGACCTTCAGCCTGAGATCGTATGGAATTATCTGGGGATTGTAAAGCTTGCAGGAGCTGCGTCAGCTCTGCGTGAGTCTCTGCCGGAAGCACCGACATGGCTGCTAATGTGGATGCGGATACGGATGCAGATAGAGGCAAATTTTCGAGTGGCAGAAAAGAATAGGAGAAATGGTAGGTATTTTGGTTGTTCGACAGGTAGAGAACAAAGTTGACAAGGATTCAAAGTTGTGTCTCTACTTCGTGATGTTGTGCCCCGCAGGGCTAAGGCGCGCGGTGGCCGGCTGTGGATTGTGCGAATTAACGAGTGGGAAAAGATGATCAAATTGTTGATATCGACGCAGTAAGTTCGAAATTCGAAGCACTAAATAAATCCCCTTGTCTTTGCTCGTTTTCTTCGTATCTTCGAATCTCAGCCCGATTAAACTCTTAGAAAGAGATCCTAGAATAAATCCAAATTACCACTCATTAAAAATCTACCAAGGTAGTCCGCGTAGTGAGGGTGGTAGGGTAGTGGTAGTAGTGGTAGCAGTTATGGTTGTTGTTTTTTGTACTTATGTTGTTGTTGTTATTCTTCTTTGGCATTAATCAGATAGAGCGAGGGGTCGCGAAAGAGGGGAGATTTGCTATCAACTTTTTTTTTTCTTTTCTTCTTCTTTTCTCTTTATCGAGAAATCCCGCCAAAGTCATGAGCTTTCTGACTATGTAATTAACTATCTTCCATTTACTTCATACTTTCATAAATGCATTCAAACATTTAGACTAGTAGGTCAGCTATGTGTCCGAGCGCAATGTTACTAACTCCAAAAAGAAGCTTATAATTGCCGGATTCGGTATAAATTGCCCGGTTCGGTCTAAGTCAGGTACGCCTGTTACGCATCCATGGATAAGAAGCGTATCGAAGTAGGTACATGTATCTATCCATAAAATGTGGGTACTACGCGTAGATACATACATGTACCTAAGTACATATGCATCGATAAGATCAGGCTACCTCGATGCTCCCAAGGTTCTCTTCCAAGAGATATGCTTGAAGACTTTGGATCCAATTGTTTGGCAAGTTTTGCAGCAAGAAGTGATTCGCATAAACGTCTGTCTGGCATACCTACCGCTCACGGCTAGTTGATTGGTCACAGATTTTTGCTTCTCGAACATGCCCTACCTCTTCACGCTGCCACGTATTACACCCGTGCTGCCGTGTAAATGCTTTGAATCCTCATTAGCTAAACATAAGCTACCGCGATAAGTTTATACCCAAGTCAAGACCAGTCAATGGCATCCATCGACTTACGGTTTCAATGGCCCAGGCAATTATGCATGATGTGTAGGTCTCTAGACGTGTGGGGGATCAATCATCTCATGCTGATATATTAAATCAAATTATATGATTTATCGCTCGTCTCTTCCCTACCTACCGGTATATTGATGAGACCTACCACTTATACGTGCTATCAATCCCGCATTTAAGAATACATATAATCGAACTTGAAATTTAGGTAATGCTTTTTCTACAAAGCCTCATTTCAATATTTGACACATACTATATAGGTATGTACATGTACATGTAGGTATTTTCTAAATACATGCTTATATATGCCTACATAGGTATGCCTACATACCTACATAGTATGTATATACCTAGTAGTGTGTGTATTGTGGATATGTCTACAATATTGTACATATGTAGGTATAATAACGTTGAACTTATACTACCCAGTAGCAGACTACCTAGGTAGGCAGGCAGGTAGTATGCAGGTACATATATATATCTAATGTGTAAGTTGAGATTAGCAAATATTTAAATATATTAGAAACATCAATATACACAATTCGGTACTTATAAATAAGCAACGATCCAGTGAAGTTTGCTCGGGCTACGGGATCGACACTGGAATGACAGATGGGTGACGACGGTGTGGGAAGGTGAAGGAGGGGCTGGAGGGGTTACGTCGGTCCGGGGAGGGGCGGTCGCATTGTCGACTTGAATCGGGAACGTTTTAGCCGTACAGTCGTAATACTCCGCGCAAGAGCTGCTGCTACTAGGTACATAGGCCTAGGTAGGTACATATCCATGAATGCCTATAATTTCGCTGGTGTATACATATACATATACCTACATATGTACATTACCAACTATATGTACTTACCTAGGTACCTACATCTGCTACATGTAGTCGTACTAGGTATGCTAAGTTACATTCGTCCCTCAACATCAAGCCGTACACCGACTGAGAGATTGACTTTTTTCTTTTGCGCCGTCACCGATACGACCAGCATAACAAAACCAGCAACACCATGATCCTGGCTGTCCCAGGGAGCTTCTCTTCTTCAACTCCCCCAAAGCAGGCAAGGCTAGACTAGTTTCCCAGGCTCTAGCTACAGCTTCGAAGCTAGAGGTCAGCTCGATTCTTCAAAGCTTCACCCCTAAAGCGAAGAAGAAAGAGGAGCGAACACTTATTACAAAGATCTGCTTACTCGCCTACCTATTTGCCTACATATCTTAAAATCCTTGTCACGTATCAAGTACCTCCCTCCCCCACCATGGATCCCAACGCTTTCTATTTCCGAGGAAGTAAAGACTCTAAGGAAACGAGCATCTCCCCGCCACCTCCTCAACGAACGGGCTCTGCTTCGAGCTTGCACAAGTCTGGCCATGTCATTGCTCATAGTCATCGTTCGAGCTTCGCCGAAAATTTGAGAGGCCTACCACCGTCGCCACGAAATCAGAGACATCCGTCCTTCACTCAGGCCGCCATTCAGGAACTACTCAATCATCCACCAGCCTCAAGACAGCATAATCCTCGTTTCGCCGGGAGGGATTGGCGCGAAGTCGCAATTGGAGAGCTCGTGTCTAAAGATGAAGTCGCCTGGGTTGAAATGGATACTACTGTGGAAGATGCGACGATGGTATGGTGGCTACTACTCGTTCCTATATTTCAGTTTCTCTAACTATGTCTCCAGGCGCTACTGAAGAATACCTCGAGCAAAGTTGTTATCGTCAGAGAGGACGCCACCAGCTCCATTCCCGTCTCAACCTTCGATTATAATGACCTAAACGCATACATCCTGGTCGTGGTTGGGTTAGCGCATCCAAGTGAGGATTTGGTCGAATTATACGACACGGTAGCGACAAAGGCCCAGGCCCGGGTCAGCATCCCTCTTCGCGACGTCCAGCCAATATTCCGTAAAGAGTCGCTCGTCACCCTAGAGGGAGACGAGGACCTAGCCAAGGCGATCGAGGTTCTCGGCAGCGGGGTGCACCGAGCGCTCGTTACCAATCACGACGGAGAAGTTATTGGTGTTCTAAGCCAGTTGAAGCTTATAGAGTTCTTCTGGAACGAAGGTGTGAATTTCCGCGTCATCGATGACCTCTACCCGAGGCTCTTGCGCGACGTCGGCGTCGGATCACATCAGATAATAGCTATAAAGTACGTGCGCTGTTTCCGGCTTATCATTTTCCGCGGCGTATACGTGTTTCCTATTTTTCTTGCTAACGGTCACGCAGTGCGGATAGCCCTTTGACGGAAGCGCTCAACCTCATGAATCAAGAAGGCCTGTCTAGTGTAGCTGTCGTCGACAATGGTTTAAACGTCGTCGGTAATATTTCCAGCGCGGATGTCAGACACCTTACTAATGCTGCGAGCTTTCCGCTACTGCAGAATTCATGTATGCATTTCATATCGGTCATCTTGACCGAGCAAGGCGCCGAGAAAGGCAAGGACTCTTTCCCGGTCTTCCATGTCAACCCCTACTCGACACTTGCACACACGGTAGCTAAATTGGTGGCTACGCATTCACATAGAATGTGGATAGTGGAATCAGCTTCTCCCTCGCCTTCCGCACCCGGGACCCCTTCGCTGGGACCCACCGTCTTCGTCCCAACCCCGTCATCTTCGCAGACATCTCTTTCGGGTGGTCATTTTCCTTCGGTCCCCCCAGCTTCCACCTTACCTGGGTCTTACTTGTCGGGTCGCCTGATCGGTGTCGTCACCTTGACGGATATCCTTAACCTGTTTGCAAGGTCGACCGGACTTAACCCATCCGATCCGAGCGAGCAACGAGCAAGAAGGCGAAGGAGCTCTAGCAGTTCTATTCGCCCATCTATCGAGTCTACCCGTGCCAGCCTGGATATCCGACGTTGATGGTGGCAAGCTGTCGAATAGTGTTTCTCGGTGTTCGAGAAAAGGATACCTAGGTCTTGATTACCTACCATCTAAGGGTAGTCTGGCTCCAATACACAATGAATAATATGGTGCTACCGTGATATCATTCTCGCCTGTCCCAGCAGTCTTTCTTATTCTCGTAATGGTAGTGGGGAGGGGGTTTTATTGGTGTTTTTGCCGCGTGTCATTTATTCTAAATCGCAATGACGTTCATGAGACATGTTGCTAGGAGGAGTCTATGGCGTTACTCCCATATTTCTCTTTACAAGGGATGGATCATAGTCGGAGTTAGACATATTCAAATATTATCGGGATGGTTTTACCTATTCTACCCATTTTCAATAGTGACCTTTGGCTACTATATGCACAGTATGGGCGAGCTGCGCTGCTGTATAGCTTTTGAAGCTTGAATGTTTAATACCTACCTAGGTAGGTAGGTACCTATCTAATTATGGTGCACGTAGGTGGATATTTCTATTCAAGTCATGTGATCTATAAATAGCTAATAAACCTCGGCACTAAATTAGTAAAAGAATATAGTGTGCTATAATTTGCTGACTTTGCAACCGAACAGCCATTAGAGCGGTTGCCAGGGCACGATGTCGGAGTGGTTAACGAGTGAGACTTGAATTCTCAAGAATTCATCAATTCTTGTGCAATGTGATCTCATGCCTTCGGGCGCGCAGGTTCGAATCCTGCTCGTGTCGTACAGTTTCTTTTTGTCTGGCTTGCTTTTTCCTTCTCTACCCTTTTTAACCTTTTCACCTTCGTTTTACCAATCAATCAATTAAGGGAATAATTAAATCGGTTGAAAACAAGTTAATGAATTATTTATTTCACAGTTAGAAACCGAAGATAGAGGGTTTGTATTTTTAATGTTCTAACTCCCTTGTTTGTTTTAATTAGGTGCATAGGTAGCTGGGTAGGTACCTATTTCCCCCCCTGGAATGTTTCTGCAAGAAGAAAATTGATATCAACGCGTTCCCTGGAATTATTCATGTCTCACTCCTTCTCCAAACCGGTAGTCTTTTGCGAACTAAGTATTCTCTCCTTCTCTATAGTAGAGAATAAGGTGATGCCTTGCTGTAGGGATTTGACGAGCATGCCCACGGCATCGCCTTTGAAGTCATCAGCGTTGCGAATATTGTCCAAATCTTCTGCGAATTCCTTGGTACTTTGCTGGAGGTAATAGGAGGTGAACTCCTGGGAGGCGGTATCTTTGGCTGACATATCTCGCTATTCTCTTCTTGACCGTAGTAGCTAAGGTAGGGGTAACTTTGTTTAGGTAAGTGGTAGGTAATTCAAGGTTGTGTAGGTTGTTGGAAAGGTGGTGGGAAAAGTTTTTGGGCTAGGTATTCAGTATTTACAGCATTCAATGTTGCGCCCGCAGCCCCACAACCTATTGAAGCTACCGCTACCTAGGACCTAGGTAGTAGGTACTTAGTACCTAGTAGTACCTACCTACAGTACACACATACATGTACGTGGATGCAGGTACTAGGTATCATTCGATTCTACAAAATTTGAACGGTATCACCTTTATACATAGCTTGAATAAGTCAGGTTGAAAATTTGAAATATTGAAACATATGGTTTCACTCAATGTTATTGTTATTGCTTATAAGTAGATGAGATGATCAATTCATGTGCAATGCCTAGAACAAGATGTTTTCCCTACTATTACGCTGTAGGTATGTGTACAAGTCACACCTTGTATTAATGTTAGTACGGAGTCTTTATCAATACCTTCTAGAAGAGTAAGAACTGGGACCGTTCTAAGGTCGGCTTCCCCGCCTTGGTTGTGTTTCAACGGTTTCAAGGAGAATGGAACAACCTACCTAAGTGGCAGCCTAGGTAGTCAGCCCTATTACGTCAACTATCCAACGGCGTCTTTATGAAATCCCTTACCTACGTATAGTTCAGCTCAGTTCAATAAACTTGTAAAAATATCCTATCAACCAACGATTACAATACCATCAAGATGACGCCACACGAAGGCCTGGTCCATCTAAAGGAGTACGATTGGAGAGACAGCAATGTCGAAAATATAGGAACGAAACTTGATCACAAGGTTAAATACACTTCAGCAGCTACAGAACCTGCGTGGCAAGAAGTCGGCCATGCTGCTGGCCTTCACGTCTGGCGAATCGAGGATTTCGAGGTAGTCCCGTGGCCCAAAGACCGGTATGGTGACTTTCACGAGGGGGATAGTTACATCGTTTTGTATTCGTATAAAGTGGGAAGCAGGAATGGCGAGCAAAACCTCTCCCACGACATCTTCTTCTGGCTCGGAAGCAAGACATCGCAGGACGAAGCAGGCACGGCCGCTTATAAAACGGTTGAACTCGATGAATTCTTGCATGGTGTCGCAACACAGCATCGAGAACTCCAGAAGGAGCCTTCCGATGATTTCGTCGCTTTATTCTCTCGCATCCGGATCCTATCTGGCGGCGTCCGCTCTGGCTTTACACATGTCGAAACGGAGGAACCAAAGGATACCCAGATGCTGCTTAGGGTCTTCAAGCATCCGTCCGCCAAACGGGCAGACTCCGTCATGGTCTACGAGGTTGAACCGACCTGGCAAAGTCTCGACGAGAACGACGTGTTCGTGCTGGAGCGCGGGGACAAGATCTGGGTCTGGCAGGGCAAGAATTGCAGCCCAATGGAAAGAGCAAAGGCGGCCCAAGTTGTTCACGATATGACCATTGCAAAGCACATCGACGTCGAAGTTCTAGCGCAGGAAGAAGCGAGGTCTCGAACTGTTCTTGCTATGCTAGGTGGCGAAGACGTCGGGGGTTCTCATTCTCTTAAAGCACCTCGACCGATTATCTCGTCTGGGGGTCAAAACACAGGCCGTCGCCCTCGTAGGCTTTTCCGCTTGTCGGATGCCTCTGGTCAGCTGAGATTTGACATTGTCAAAGAAGGCACTGGGATTAACAACGCGGATTTAGATAGTAATGATGTCTTCCTTCTCGATACGGGTAATACCATCTGGGTTTGGCAAGGTTCACGGGCGAGCAAGACAGAAAAGGCCATGTGGATTAAGATAGCTGAATTGTATATTCGGCGACTTGGAGAGGAGGATGACAAGGCATACCTAAGCCCAATATCCAAAGTAGTTGAGGGCAACGAAAGCCAAGCATTTATCAAGGCTCTTGAGGCGTAACGGAGGCTTACTTTATTCTCTACTCTCTATTCCTATCTTGCGTGCCAAGATTTGACATGAATCACTATTAGGTATTTGTCTAGATAGCTGAATTGGTTCCTTACGAACACTATATTTTTTTTGATTTGATTTTACTAGGTAATTACCTATATTGGCGCGATATTGGTATTTTAGTTGAAACTAGTACCTAGAGATACTAAAGAGTTTAAACTTTAATTATAGTAATCTGTAAACTGATTAAAGCCCGCACGACGCACGCAGCTGGCACGGTACACACCTAATAATATTGCAGTAGCATTGAATATGGTAAGTGGGGCGGCGGCGGCCTCAGTTTTGACGCGACGCTAATAAGCGTCCCCTGTCCCTGGACCCTAGACCGTGTCATCCGTGAGAAACCTTACCTAGCTGGGTACATTAAAACATTACATAATAGGAGAAAAATGGAATTTGGACCCTTTCCGATTTGATTTGGATCTCGTTGCCGAACTTCTCCTAGACCCCCTACAATGCCATCTTACATCCAAACTATTTACAATTAGCAAACTCCTACCAAATTCCCACCTTACCAGGTAGATCGACACCACGCTGTATACCCCGTGGTGAACATTTCAATGTCTCTCGTTTGATTATCCAACCATTGAATTCAAAGATGGATCTTCACGAGGCTCAAGCGTACTTTCAGTCTTCGCTTCACGAAGTATCCCACGCCTTTCAGAAAGTCCCCGGAAGTGCCGTCTTGATACGATACATCCAGTCCAGCTACCAGAATGACCCAATCCGATCCGCCATAGAACTTGTTCTTGTTATATTCTTCGTTCGATATATCCTCTCGCCATCCTATCCTACCCATGGCCCCAATTACGTGAAGCTTCGCGAGGATGAGATCGACGAACTAGTCAAGGAATGGGAGCCTGAACCACTCGTCGCTCCGCAGACCACCTTCGAGGAAACTGAATCTGAGAGGCAGCCCATGATTGTCGGGTGAGTATTAGCGCTATAACGAAGGGGGAGAGCGACTGCTAATAGCATGGATATAGACCGACTGGGCCGAAGGTGAAACTATCCAACGGAAAGACTGCCATAAATCTGGCCTCCTATAACTTCTATAACCTAAATGCCAGCGAATCGATCAAGGAAAAGGCTATCCAGACACTACGCACGTACGGAGTTGGTCCCTGTGGTCCACCACAGTTCTACGGTACCCAGGATGTCCACATGAACACCGAGCATGATATCGCCGTCTTCCTCGGAACCCAGAACAGTATTGTTTATTCCCACGCCTTCTCGACTATCTCGAGCGTCATTCCAACTTTCTGCAAGCGAGGTGATGTCATCGTAGCCGATAAGATGGTCAACTACTCTATTCGCAAAGGATTAGAAGCTTCCCGGAGCATTATTAAATGGTACGAACATAATGACATGGAAGACCTAGAGCAAGTGATGAAGAAAGTGGTCGAGGAGCAAGCAAAGAAGAAGATCTTGACCAGGCGATTCATTGTGACAGAAGGTCTCTTCGAGATGGTTGGCGATTGCTCTAACCTTCCTAAGCTCGTAAGCTCTATCCATCCGATTCGATGCTTTGCATCTTTTAAGCTAACGGTTGGCGTACCTTTTAGGTAGAATTGAAGGAAAAGTACAAGTTCCGTATTGCCCTCGATGAGACTTGGTCTTTCGGCGTACTTGGCCACAACGGGCGAGGGCTTACCGAGGCACAGAATGTAGACTCTGAGGCTGTGGATATGATCATCGGGTCTCTGGCGGGACCCCTCTGCGCTGCCGGTGGTTTCTGTGCCGGTTCGAAGGACGTCGTAAGACATCAACGCATCAACGCCGCATCCTACACCTACTCTGCCGCTTTACCTGCTATGGCTGCCGTCACGGCTAGCGAGACTCTGAATGTTCTGCAATGCAACCCTGATATCCTGATTCAATGCCGAGAAAACATCCGAGCCATGAGGGCGCAGCTTGATCCCCGAAGCGATTGGGTACAATGCACGAGCGACCCCGAAAACCCGGTTATGCTACTTGTGTTTAAGCCCGAGGTGGTCTCATCAAGGCGGTTAAGCAACGAAGACCAAGAGCGACTATTCCTCGATGTCGCGGATGAGGTAAGCTTCCAGAGACCAATCCCATGTTGAAATTTGAACCACTAACAGAAATATAGGCGCTTGCCAATGGTGTACTAGTCACGCGCTTAAAGAGCGTGTTACTGAATGGTAGCATTGGAACCGAGGACATCAACATCAAGCCTGCGCTTAAGGTATGTATCACGTCAGGTTTGTCGAAGAAGGAGATCGAGAAAGCCGGTGTGACGATTCGACATGCCATCACAAAAATCATGACTCGCAAGCCAAACCGGCAGTCGACCCTAGCTGCTTAGGAAACGTTCAGCTTCTCATGATCTCACTTATTGGTCTACAAACGTTTCTTTACGAAAGAGTACGAGAAGAATGTGCTCGTTATTGATGCGCGAAGGCATAATGATTATGCTACGACCTGAGTATGGCCCTACGATAATGTGAACGAGTACTAGGAGGAGCCGTATAATGACGGGTTTGGTCATGAGTGGTATACAGGACGAGAAAAAAAAGAGGCGAGCTGCCATACCATATTATAGACTTGGATACTAATTGCTAATGCTTATAAACCACATGTCACTCAACGTTCTTGGATACAATGAAGAATCGTGCTGTTCTAAAGTACTACTAGGCACATAGGTACATACCTAGGTACCTACATATATCTACATGTAGGTAGGCATGTCTATAATGTGAAGTGTGCCTTCCTTAAGGTGCAAGGTATTTTAGTCGGAAGGTAGGTATTCGTGGGTCCTATATCTTGTACCTGCTAGGTAGGTAGTGTTCTTGCTCCTAAGTTTCTATTTTTTTTCAGAGTGGTCTAGATGATATTGAGCCGGTTTCCCTTCTATTTACAAGGTTGTCCCCCTTTCATCGTACTCTCTTATAGAATTCACCACAACCCACCTCGTTCCTATATTCAATGTTATTCTTGTCACTCCTTTTTTTTTATTACACATGTAGACCACAGCTTCTATTAGACCACACTCTTTTACAATATACTACCTAGATTATCAAAATCGTCTAGGTCGTCTACCTTTCGCCAACTGTCCTCGTTGTCGTTGTCGTATGAGTATTCTGGAGTCAAAGCAGTGTCAATACTTGGCGTCTATTGAATTCGAAGACAAAGATTGTGAGTGCCTACCTCTAGTAGGTACTTACTATTCTACCATCCACTGTGTGTGATGCTATCGATACAAGGTACCCTCCCTTATGTTCAATCTTTGATATTTCCTCCCTTAGAACGCCATCATTCCTTCACCACAATATTTTGCCTCCCCTCGAGGGAATGCGCATTCTGGCGTGTTTATTGTTTCTCCCTCTTTCAATCTCGATGCCGGGGCAACTTCCGCTACAAGAATTGTTGCATTGTTGGCATCTTTTCTTGTATTAGCGGAGGACTCTTGGGTCTCGAACTTCAACATAATCTCTTAGTATATCTTTTTACCTACGAACTCCAGTTCAAATTCCACTCCTTTGTCACCTTTTTTCCCCCTCTCTCTGTCGCCCTTGTAACCAACTGATGGGAATCAATTGACAGTCTTCTCTGACCATTCATCGCGTTCACACCCCCTTTTGTTTCATTCTTTTCACTCACCCTCAGTCACTCATTCGTTCGTTCTCGTACCTAGTTGACTCACTAACAACTTAGGTCGTTTGTCATTTGTTTCCTACGGTTCTGTAGATTCCGCAATTTCTTGATTCTAGACGCATCCATCGTCATATCTGACGTACCCATACGATGAAATCTATCACGATTCCCCTCACGCTTCTTGCCCTTCTAAGCGTGTCGGCTGGGCAGCCCCGTAAGTCATCGTTCTTATATATGCATCATCATCATCTGGTGCTTCATGGATCCTAAATTAATGTGGCATTAGGGCATCAACATGCCCATCATCACAAGGCAAACAGGGATTTTATTCCAAAAGGGGGTAAAATAACCATCACTGGTACCGCCTACAGCACAACGACTGAGATCCCTGAAGTCGTGGTCTATGTAGACCAAAACAACAAGCCAATTCATACCACTACAGAGACGGTTGTCTATATCCCCGCTCCCGCGTCGACAGAGACGCGTAAGTTACCGGCTCCATCTACGTCGACAGTTATTGCTCCCCCTGCGCCTACGAAGGCTATGTCATCAGGGGCATATACTCCGCCAGCGTCATCTACGTCGGCTTCGTCTACATCCGCTTCGTCAACTTCAAAACACATTTCAACCTTTGAACCGATCCCATCCCCCAGATCGTCTCGAGCGACCCCAACGCCATCAGTGTCCTTTGTGCCATCTTCTGTGCCATCTTCTGTGCCGTCCTTTCCTCCGCCTCCCCCTATTTCTAGTGGGAGCGCTCTTCATGGTGTCACTTATTCTCCTTACAAGGGCAGCGGGGGCTGTAAGTCGGCGAGCGAGGTCGACGCGGATTTCGCGCTCATAGCTAAGGATTACGGTGTAATGCGTCTGTATGGCGTCGACTGCAATCAGATAGCGACAGCATACGCCGCCGCTAAGAAATACGGCAACAAGCTCTTCCTAGGCATCTATGATATCAATTCTGTAGAACAATCAGTCTCTGCTATGGCTGCCGGCGTTAAACACGATTGGAGTATTGTCGACACCGTCTCGGTCGGCAACGAACTGGTCAACAACGGCGGAGCAACCGTGGACCAGTCGCTTGGCGCATTGAGCCAGGCACGATCTGCACTAAGGGCCGCCGGATACCAAGGCCCCGTCGTGGTCGTAGACACGTTCGTTGCTATGTTGTCTCACCCCGAACTTTGCGACCAGTCAGACTACTGTGCCGTCAACGTCCACCCCTTCTTCGATCCGAATACAGGACCACACCAAGCAGGCTCGTTCATTACTTCTACCGTCAGTAAGATTCGTAGCAAGCTATCTGACTCGAGCAAGCGAATTGTCGTTACCGAGACGGGGTGGCCTTGGCAAGGAGAGGCAAATGGCGCGGCCGTACCTGGCATGGGTCAGCAGTCGACCGCGCTCTCGTCTATCAAGAACGCGTACTCGGACAACGCGAGAGACTTGATACTTTTTACGGCCTTCAACGACATGTGGAAGAGGCCTGAATCGGGAACATTTATGGCTGAACAGTTCTGGGGTATGGGAGGACGGTATTCGCCTAGCGACGTGTAGGACGGCTAGAGTGACTAAAACGGAGGCATGGTCTTTAAGCGGGCCACTTACGAATTAATGAGGTCAGGGATATGCATGGAAACAGTTGGTTGAGGCGATGAAGACAACGATGATTGCGGAAGCTAGTTAGCTAAAGGAAAGCCCGGGATGGAGATGTGTACGATTTTGACTGGTATTGCTTCTATTCTCTGTAAATCCATTTTGACGCTGTATTTTCTCTGGGCTGTAGCCATGGCGCTCGCTTGTTTCTTGGATTTGTGATTTGTTCATCATAAGGTGATACATTCGAGCCGCGCGATCCAGGCAAAACACGCAAATCTCAGATTTACTATTCAGACAGGCCTCGACGTAAGTATAGAAAACTAACTAACTACTAGCTGTCTGAAAGTAGCCCGCTTTCCTTGAAAAGTACATATAGGACCTGCATGTCAGCTTAAGTAGGCACCTATGACTTCAGCACATCATAGCTCAATTATTTGTTCAATTGTCCATGATGATCAAGTCTTACAATTAAGTCACTTCGCGTCCGTCAGGTCACCACAGCAGGACGGAAACCAACAGCGTGGTCGTGAATCCCACTATGACTAACTTCCCAGCGCCACTCGTATCCTCGAGTTGGGCCGAGGGACTGTTCGTCGCGCCCGTAGCCACGCCGATGCTATCTGTCGTCGTCGCAACCGCGGCACTAGCAGTAGGCTCCGGCGCACTAGCCAGCCCCGTGACCCCGGAGCTGTAGTACGTGAATGTCAGGCCACCCGCGACGCTCGTGAGCGGGGGCGTAGCGAGCGTGAGGACGCCCCAGTGAATAGAGGAATCTGTAGTGCGAGAGAGGGTCAGCATGTACATATCTATCTTGTGCTGCCTCCGAGATGAACTACAAAAGGGTTTAGAGACAAGGGGCTGAGGGCGAGCGGGACTCACCCGTAAGCGTGAAAGGCGCGACGGAGGTCGAGCTAGGCCCGGATAGGGGGCCAAGAGTAATTGCACCGAGGGAGGTGGAGCCGCTACAGATGGCGACGGTGGTGTTGGATAGGAGACAGGCTTGAGTGACGGAGCTACGTAGGTACTTGTGTTTAGTTATATGTTTGTCAAGAGGGAACAGAGGGGGTTGGGGTTAGTAGGTGTATGGTCAGGAGGTTATGATGAAAAAAATAAAATGAAATAAAACACAACTCACATCGTAGAATCAACTGACTGCTCGTAATGGTAAGTCGAAGGCCCCTCGATAAATGTAAACGGGAGCAAAGTGTCGCCGCCAATGTTGCAACTATAGATCCTGTCCGGGGCGCAAAAGATGGTGTAAGCAGTCTCAGCGTCGTTCTACACAACGTTACCTCAGGGGTTAGTTCGAGTTGGTGGCGATTGCGTAGTAAGAAAGAGGGAAGAACACGCACACTAGAGATTATGCTACCTCGTAGCGCCGCCCAGTCTCTCGGCCCGTAAGACGGTAAAAACACGGAGACAGTGCTAGGTGTCGGATCCTGGGCTCCGATGAGTTGCGTAAGAATCGTGAGGGATAGCAGCATCGGCAGCGTTAGCCATATGCGGAAAAGATCGGCTACTAGAGCAGCTGCCATGATGGATGAGAGGTATTTGTGGAGAGATAGGCTAATAAATAGTAGTGAATAGTAGTGAGGCAGCGAGTAGTACAAACAGTGATGATTCTATCAAGGTTCCAGGCATATTATTCTTTCCCGGGACCGAGGGGGCATGTCGGCCTATACGTGGATCTATGCGTCTACGTAACTGCATAAGTTCCCAGGTAGTCAAGTTTATGAGGCTCGAATCGCGGAACCTCCTGCGATCGTTCATGATAAGCTATCAGCGGGATCGACGTCACATTTGGGCGTGACGTGAGCCGGTTTTGCCTATAAGTGACGTCGGCAATGGAGTTGGTGGGATCCTCATGCAAATGTGGTTACATCCACTTACAGATTTGGATATGCCGACGTTTTTAAGCTTAATTCCCCTGTTATGCTACATGATTAGCTCGATAAGGACATCAGAGGCTCAGATACCTGTGAGGGGAGAAAGAAGGATTCGTGGTTGAGCGATTAAAAACATGTGATGATGCAATTGGGTTGTACATATTGGTGTCTCTGATATCAAGTAACTAATGTCATCCAATGCCATCTAATGCCAACTAATGTCAACTAATGCTCATGGGATGCTTGCCCACCTATCTTTTTTTATATGTGTATCTCTAATACAACTGGAGAGATCTATACTCAGTCTCGATCCAACATCTTTCAGGTCAAGCCTTTGCTGGCCCGAGGGTATATCAATGAACCCGTAGAAATAAATAACGAAGGAACAATTACTAAAATCCTCTTACTATGCCCCTAAACCTCCCAATGTGTAAAGAGTCGACTTGGACTCGTAATACAATGTCGTACCGCTCAAATACCGCTCAAGGTACATGTGCCAGTAGATCAAGATGATATATAAAATAAAATAAAATAAAATGAAAATGAAAATGAAAATGGAATTCATCGTCGTACCTTCTGACGACTTTATAAGACCGCCACGCATATCATAGCAGTTGTCGTAAGCTCAATTCTAGCTGAGCGTAACCGAGCGTAACCGATATAAAAAATGACGATCATAATCCATCACATCTTGTCTCTCGCAATCATTCCATCACCACCTAAACCACTTTAATCAGAAGAAGGGGGGGTTGACACATAGGCCTCGGCCTTCTCGTGCGTGCTAACCGTAGCCTCCTCGTCCGAGAAGCCATACTCGCGAGCCTTTTCCCTGACTTCGGCCTCGGTAAGGCGAGGCAATTCCTGAGCGGCCTTGACGTAGCTAATCTTCTCGGAATAACCCTTGGCGAAGATGACATCGATCTCTTCCAAAGTACGTCCAGCAGTCTCGGGATAGAGGAAGTAGATGACGGGGAAGAACATGGCATTGAGGATACCGAAGAACAGGTATGTTCCCCACCCGCTCTCTCCCGTGTTGCTAAGTAGCACGGGCGTGATCATCACGATGAAAAAGTTCCACAACCAATTAGACACAGTCGAAGTAGCGTTGGCCTTGGCTCGGGTCTTAAGGGGGTTGATCTCGGCCGGGTATAGCCACGGTAGCGGAAGCCATGTAGCGCCGAAGAAAGCAATATAAGTCTGTTTTTACGAATTAGCCATGTTTTCTTTTTTTTTTTTTCGTTTTTTTTCATTAAGGAAAAAAAGTTGAAAGGTGTATGTCATATTGAACTCACAAATAGACCAACAGCAGCTCCCTTGGCCGCCTCTTCAGTTCCAGGAATCAAGGCACCAAAAGTAAGAACCATAGACAAACATTGACCAACAGTGCCAATAAGATACAACTTCCTACGCCCGATCCGCTCAACGGCAAACCACGATGTCGTAGCGAAGATAGAGTATACAACCATGTTCACACCTCCCAGAAGGAGGGCCAGGTTGTGCGAAGTGCCGATCGACGTCTGGAACAGAATAGGGAAGTAGTAGATGACGGCGTTGCAGCCGCTTAACTGCTGCATCATCTGAGACGAGGCGCCCAACAACAAACGACGGAAGTGCTGCGTGGGGCCGTTGGTAAACAGGTCCGAAATGGGCGTGACACCGCCGGCATGGCCGGAAGCGCGGATGGCATCGACAATAACAGCAACCTGGGTCTGGACGGCCGGATCGTCGCGGCGTTCTCCATGAAGAGCAGCCAACACGGTAGACGCCTCCTCATTACGATCCTTGGTTAATAGCCAACGAGGAGATTCGGGAAGCTGAGTCATGAGGATGATGACGACGAGAGCGAACACACACTGGAAGGCGATAGGGAAACGCCAGACAAAGGCGTGCGGGCCGTAAGTGCACCCGTAGTCAATCCAGTAAGCGATCAAAGTTCCAATGGCAACATTTCCACCTTCGATACAGATGAGTTTACCGCGATTGTGCGAATGACTGCATCTGTTGACGAGGAAGAAAGTCGAGTGTTAGTGAAGTTCATCTCGCGCGTTTTCGGGGCGATAGAGGAATATGGATGAATGTAGAATTTGGATGGAATAGCTGCTTACTCTGCTTGATAGGTTGGCACTGTCGACGTATTTATACCATTCCCTATTCCTGTTATGCACCGTCCTATGATAAATTGCGCTGTAGATCCTCCGCCTGCACCGGTGGGTTGACAAGTGACCTGAATGATGACACCGATAATCATGATAGAAGCACCGAGGAAGATAGACTTGCGGCGGCCGAGGTGGTCGCCAAAGGTAAGGATAAAACAGGCGCCGAGGAAACAGCCTACAGCGTATATAGAGACTACGAAGCCCTCATACGTGCTGTTACCGTCGACCTCGGGGAAATCTGAAGTGAAGGCTGGCGCGGAGATGATGCCGGACATAACGCCCTGATCATAACCGAACAATAAGAAGTCCGTCGTCGCTACGGCCGTAATCATGTTCTGCAACCTCTTTCCGGACGTGCCCCAATACGTGGGAGCGCCATTGGCGTCGTCTTTATGCACCATATTGTCGTGGTCTAGCTGTCGTCTAACTGTCCAAGTTCAAGTTCAAGTTCAAGTCCAGGTTTGCGCTCAGGAGATTTCTCGACCGGATACGTGCGATATATGCGATATGGGCGATACGGGGCGACGTTGGCGATGTGGACAGTATGGGGAAGGCCTGTTGAAGGAGGAGAAGACGGGGTAGATGGGAAGGGGGGAAAGCGGGAAAGGGGGAAAGGACAAAGATGCGGGTGAGATAGGGAAATAGAACAAGATCCAGGCTGTTTGCGGAACAAAGGGGTACAAGGTCCACCAGCCTCATTTTATATATGTTTACGTTCAGATACAAACTTACAAAGATCTGCTTACACAGCCTCCCCCATACCCTCCGGACCCTCTAGACCATCCAGATGATACAGACGATTAAAAAAAAGGGTCCTGGTATGCTCAGAACTGGAGTTTGTCGGTTGCGGGTGGATGTCACCGAGCAAGGACCGAGGAAATGTCATCATAACACCTGAGGTGTGTGAGAGGAAGCCCATAAGAAACCCATAGGGAATCCATAGAGAGCCCATGGAGAGCCCATAGAGAGCCCATAGGAAGTCCATAATAACTCCATGTAATAGTGGGCACCCCCGGAGGCCGTGCCGTCCCAACATGGCGCTGGATTACGTACGGACTTCACGATAATATGAATTGTGATACTTGTGATTTGTAGCCGATGGCAAAAATCTGTATTCGAGTTTTTTGTGGAGATGTCTTGAAGATCGTCATCCGCGTTTCGTCATATATACCCACTATTCCGGTCCACAGCTCGAGTCATGCTGGAGCCTTGTGGGGTCGAAGGAGGACGGACCTTGCGGGCGCGATAGTATTGGCGACCTATAGCGTAGCCACTTGCGTAGCTTGCCAATGCTGGGCTGACGGGCGGCGACGGGATCATATCGAACGGGCGGCTAAAGACATCACGGCATCCCATCGCAAGCGGCCGAGAGCCAAGCTTTTTTTTTTTCAACTCATTCAACTCATTCAACTCATTGAACTCCTTTAATGTTTTTCTTTTCCCCCAAAAGGCTGCATGAACCAGTCTTGAAGTTCTTGTCTTCAGGACCCGTTGTTTCGCCTCCTTCGGTGCCCGAGCGGTGTGTTCAATGTCGATCTTAGGATGAGAGCCAAGCGACTGATACAAAAAAAAAATTCGAAAAATTAGTGAGATTCCCTTACTTCAAAAGAGTGGGTGTGATAAATCACAATCACCTTTGTTCCATACTCCGAGCTTCCGAATTATCCTATGGGTTACATTTTGGCTGCATTGATGCTATGCTTTGCTTTGCTTTGCTTTGTTTTTCTTTTTCTTTTTCTTATCCTTTCTATGTATGTTTTGGGGGGGGGGGGGGGGGGGGGGGGGTATTTTTTTTATTTATTTCTATCTTACCATAACTGAATAACAACAACCATAAACTTGCATAAAATACTAAGTATGTAC